GTCCCTGAGCTCTCACTCCACAGGCCTGACCCACCCCGTGTGCCAGTGCCGACAGCGCTGCGGTGATGTCACCACGCCCCCCCATGCAGACTCACGGAAGGACAGTCGGAAGGAAACGCCAGGAGCTGGGCGGCCGGGTCCTCCCTCCGTGGCCGTGGCCGTGGCCGCTCCTGGCCGTGCAGACCGGCCGGTCGTCAGGAGGAAGTCGTTGATCAGGAAGATTTACGTCCTCGCCGCGGCAGAGGCCATTACGGGAATCCGCCTGATTGATCCGCTCGCACATTCACGTTCCCGTTCCCACTGGGGCTCCGGCTTCAGTTAAACCCCGGGCCACCCCCCCCCCCAACCAGGAGCAAAAGCAGAGGGGCAGCCGGCCTCCCAGAGAGGTCTGCCCCCTCCTCGCTCCCCTTTACCCACACCCCACCCCTGCGTGCCCCCCCTCTGCCCTCTCCTCCACAGCGGGGAGTGGGGGGGGAGGGGGAGGCGGGGGGGAGAGGGGGAGCGGGGAGGGGGGAGAGGGGAGCGGGAAGGGGGAAGGGGGAGTGAGCTCCCTCCAGGTGGCATGGCCGATGCCTCTTCCCCTCACTGCGAAGGTTTTGTCTCCGAAATGGTCCCTGGTCCCTGGTTCTGAGGGCCTGCGGGTTCGAGGGGAGCCGGGTCTGGAAAGGGGATCGCAAGCTCAAACCACAGGCGCTGTCGCCAGAGCGGCTCACCCTTAAAATCAGGAAATGGTTTCCTCCTGCAGACCACACAGGAAATGGTTTAGGGAAGCAATTGACCCACGTGATAAAGAATGGGAAGGAGCCCGGCCGGCGTGGCTCAGTGGATAGAGCATCGGCCTGTGGACTGGAGGGTCCCGGGTTCGATTCCAGTCAAGGGCATGGACCTTGGTTGCGGGCACATCCCCGGTGGGGGGTGTGCAAGAGGCAGCTGGTCAATGTTTCTCTCTCATCGATGTTTCTAGCTCTCTATCCCTCTCCTTTCCTCTCTACAAAAAAATTAATAAAATGTATTTTTTTTTAATTAATGGGAAAGACATCCTTGGGTGAGGGTTAACAAACGATAATAATGAATGAATGAACGAATGAATGAGTGGGGAGGAGAGGTCCTCGGGGACCCACAGAGGCTCTGACTGAGGTGAGCATGTGTGCTCATGTGTGAACACGTGTGCTCATAGGTGAACATGTGTGCTCGTGGGTGAACATACGTGCTCATGTGTGAACACGTGTGCTTGTTTCCTGAGCACCTGCTGGCTGGCTGCGGACTGTGGGGCGGAGCGGTGACGGGGCCCGGCAGCCCGTGGGCCGGAGGGAAGCCGTGGCTGCGGGGAGCGCCGGCTGGAGGACACGGCCGGGCGGCCGGGCCGGGCGGACCCAGCGTGACCTCCCGGTTCCGGGTCGGCGCTCACCCCGAGCTCGCGGCCGGAAAAATTAGTTTTCCGCTGGCGTCTCCCCTCTGTCCCCGCCGCCGGCTGCTGGAGCCCCACAGGCAGGCGTGCCCCCTCAGCTCTGGGCAGACCCCGCCGGGCGGGCGGGAGCCTCCAGAGTTTCCGCGTTAAGAGCTTTGACTCAAAAACTAAGCAGTGACCCCGTCGCCACGCTGAAGGAGCCCGTCCCCGGCCTCCGCTCCCCGGACCAGGTCGGACGGACGGACGGTCGGACGGACGGGTGGAAGCCAGCATTCCGGTGTCTGCAGGCCAGGCCACTGGAGCAGTAATTACAGGCCCCGCCCGCCACGGGCAGTCGCTGCAGAGCCAGGAATTCAGCCGATTAGGGTCTTGACGGATGTCAGAGCAGGCGGGCCGAGGCGGCAGGAAAGGAATGTTCTGCCCCTTTAAGGGCCTGTTCACGCCCAGGCTGCTCCCCCTCCCTCCTCCGGGCTCCGCCCTCACAGCTCGGACAGGACCAGCCCGGCCCGGGAGGGTGTCTGTCCCTGCGGTGACCACACTGAGGACACTGGGTGCTCCACTTTTGTATTTTTACACGTTTTTATTGGTCAGAGAGGAAGGGAGAGAGACACATCAATGATGGACAATCATGGATCGGCTGCCTCCTGCACGCCCCCTACTGGGCATCAAGCCTGCAACCCGGGCCTGTGCCCTGACCGACCGGGACTGGAACCCTGACCTCCTGGTTCGGGGGTCAGTGCTCAGCCCCGGAGCCACACCGGGCGATTTTTGTTTTAACATCTTTTCTACCCGAAGAACAAGGTAAGAAGCTCTGCTCTGTGTCAAAGTCGCTGATGTAACTGATTTCCGTCTCTGAGCTGAGAAAACAGGATTGTTAGCCATCGGCAAAATGAACCAATTCCTGGAAAGGGAGCACTCGTGTGCGGGAGGGAGGAACCTCGCTCTCCTCCCACAGATCCTCCCACTGGTCTCTGACCCAACCCGACACGGGACCGCACGGCACGAGGACATATCGCACTGAGTGACACCTGTGCACACGGAGCCACACACGTGAGCCCCCACACGTATTACCTCTGTGCACACGTGAGCCCCCACAATTACATCTGTGCACACAGTGCCACATACATGAGAGTCCCCGCACGTATTACACCTGTGCACACGGAGCCACATGTGTGAGCCCACACACACATTACATATGTGCACATGTGAGCCCCCTCAATTACATCTGTGCACACGGAGCCACACACGTGAGCCCCGACATGTATTACATCTGCGCACATGGGAGCCACACACGTGGACCCCACGCGTATTACGCCTGTGCACACGGGAGCCACATGCGTGAGCACGCTGGAGCCCCCGTGGGAGGTTCGGGCAGGAAGCGAAGTGAGCTTGGACGGGAGGCTGTGAGGACGAGGTGAGAGGCGGTGTTCACACAGGGGAGTGTCACTCTCCTCATCCACAGCCTGGCTGGACCAGAGGATACTGCGCTCAGCTAAATAGAGGACGACAGCTTCCACGTGAAATAAAAAAATAATGACGACGACGATATAAATGAGCAGCAGAAAGAACACAGAAACTCGAGAACAGACGTTCTTTGCCAGAGGAGAGGGGAAGAGAGGGGAGGGGAAGGGAGGGGAGGGGAGGGCAGAGGAGGGGAGGGGAGGGGAGGGGAAGAGAGGGGAGGGGAGGGGAGGGGAGGGGAGGGGAGGGCAGAGGAGGAAGGTAAAGGGATTCCTGGCCAGTGCAATTATTTTTTATTCAGAAATTGTTTTTGAAAAATAATTTTTAATGTAGCATAGGCTACAGTAAAAAAAAAAAGTTAATTTTAAAAAGTAAGACTTGAAAACTGCTGGGCTGGGTGGCTCAGTGGTTGAGCGTCGCCCTAGGAACCAGGAGGTCACGTCTGATTTCTGCTCAGGACACAGGCCCAGGTTGTGGGCTCCATCCCCAGTGAGGGGCGGGCAGGAGGCAGCCAAGCCATGATTCCTTCTCATCATGGATGTTTCTCTCTCTCCCTCTCCCTTCCTCTCTGACATCAATAAAAAATATATTTTTTAAAAAAGATTGCTGAAACCGGTTTGGCTCAATGGATAGAGCGTTGGCCTGCGGACTGAAGGGACCCAGGTTCGATTCCGATCAAGGGGCATGTACCTTGGTTGTGGGCACATCCCCAGTAGGGGGTGTGCAGGGGGCAGCTGATCGATGACTCCCATCGACGTTTCTAACTCTCTCTCTCCCTTCCTCTCTGTAAAAAATCAATAAAAAATATTAAAAAAAAAAAAAAAGATTTAATCTTTACAAAGAAGAGTAACCATTGCTGGCAACGATGTGCGTTATGGATGTGATTCGCTAGAAGACAGTATTTTCCAGAAGTTTCCCCAGGAATCAGGGCAGAGGGACCTGGGAGGGGTGGCGCTGAGGGAGCTGTGACTGTCTGCAAAGCCGGAGGCCAGGCCTCGCTGCCCTGAGCTCACGCCACAGGCGGACGGAGGACACACGTGTGGGGCACCGGCCCCGAGTGCGGGGTCGGGGACGCCCCGGGTGCTGAACACCGAGCCCCCACGCCTGCTGTGCCCAGCCCGTCCCGCTGAGGTGGTGCCTGCTGCCTTCCCAGAGCCCGGCCCGCGGCACCCTCCGGGCCAGACACCTGGTTTTCTCTGGCCGGCAGCGTGCTGGGCGGGGACGGGCGGCCCTGGGCGTGAGTGTGGGCTCCTGCCAGGATGATCACCCCCCATGGGCTCCAGATGTGCCCGCCGAGGCCACGGGGCCGTAATTGTCTGCACGTGCAGTGGCCGGAGCCGTGACCGAGAACGGGGCCCTCGGCCACGGAGCCCCCCACCCAGGGCCCGGCCACCGGGTCCGAGAGCCGCCTCCCTCGGCTGGTCACCCTCCACGCCTGTCCTCCGGGGCTCCTGGGGCTGGGACACCCGGGGGCCGCTCCTCGGCGGTCGCAGGCTGGGGGGCAGCTGTTCCTCCTTCCGGGGAGAGACGGAAAGAGCCATCAGCTCTGAGACGGCCCGGAGGAGGGGCACAGGGTTGGGCGACACGGAATCGCTTTCCGGAGAAGCAGGCTGACGGGGCTCAGGCGGAAACCGCGCACCTGGGCGGCGGCGGAGGCTGTGTCCGGACCAGGCGGACGGAGGAAAAACAACACAGCAGCCGGCTGCCCCGGCGGTGGAGCCGCACCGCCATCTGGTGGTCAGGCCGCCCCCTGCGCCCTCTGAGTTCAACCACCTGCACCGTGTGGCTGACCGGGTGCTCATTCAGAAACTGGAACCCGCCGGCGGCTGTTGTGCTGGGCGTTGTAGCCATTCACCCAGCAGAACCAGCCTCTCAGGCAGGACAGCCGGCCGGCGTGCGGCTCCGGGGCGGAGCGCTGACCTAGGACCCCGGAGGTCACGGTGGATTCCTGGTGGGGCACAGGCCGAGGTGCAGGGCGCCATCCCATGTGGAATCCGGCCTCGCCTCCCCCGCCCGGCCTCCCGGCACATCACATCGCGGACGGCAGGTGCGCGAGGCCACTTTATTCACGCCGGGATGGCCGCCGGTCCGGGGCCGGCGCGCCCGCGGTGCGCGGCCAGCCGGCCGGCGGCTACAGGCCGGCCCGGAAGCCCGCCTTCACGGAGAACCGCATCATGGGCTTGTCCCGCGGCCGCAGGAGGCAGATGGAGCTGGGGAAGCCGCGGAGCCGCAGGCGGCCCACCCCGCCGTCCGGGCAGATGGTCAGCCGCGCGTGGGTCACCACGTCCTGCAGCTCGGGCGTGAGGCTGTCGAACACCTGGGCCGCACTGGGCAGGAGCTGGGGAGAGAGGCCCTGAGGCTGCGGGCGGGGCAGCCGCGGCACCACACGCCCTCGGCCCCGGAACCCGCGGCCCGGCCGGCGGGCTCAGGGCTGAGCCTCCGCCTCGGGTCCCGTCCCCGCCGGGCCAGCCGGCGCTCACCTGCGTGGCCGGGAGCAGCGCCTTCCAGCGGTGGCCGGGCGGCTCCCACTGCTGCCGCACCAGGTCCTCCTCCTCCTGGGCCGTCAGGATGCAGCCGTCCAGGCGGCAGCTGGCGGGGGAGCTGCCTGTGGGGCGGAGGGGCGTTCTCAGGCGGCACCCGCTCGGCCGACCAGGAGCGGCGGCTCCGTCAGGCCGAGCTGGGCGGGCTCGGTCCCCGGGGGGCGGGGGGGCAGGAGGCAGCCGATGGCTGTTTCTCTCTCTCCCTCTCCCTTCCTCTCTCTAAAGTCAATTTGAAGAACACATTTAAACACAAAACAGACAGAAACAGACTCGGAGAGAAAGACCGGAGGGAGGGACCAGAGGGAGGAAGGGGGAGGGGAAGGAGGAGGGAAGGGGACATAGCCAACAGCATCGGGGAAGTTTCCACGGACACGAGGGGGCGCTCACGCTGCAGCTATTAAATGTCAGACCCGATCGGCCGCCTGGAGCTGCCCAGAGGAGATGCTCGCCAGCTGCCCTTCAACAAACACATTTTCTTAAGAAGCTTCGGTCCAGAGGCACCAACACACCACCCGCCTCCCACAGGCCAGGCCTTCCTGACGGGACCGGCTCCCCCCACCCCCTCCGCACGGAGGGCACTGCTCCACCCTGCACGGCCTCCATCCTGGCCTCCATCCTGGCCTCCACTCAAGGCCTCCATCCCGGCCTCCATCTCAGCCTCCATCCCGGCCTCCATCCCGGCCTCCATCTCAGCCTCCATCCCGGCCTCCATCTCAGCCTCTATCCTGGCCTCCATCTCAGCCTCCATCCCGGCCTCCATCTCAGCCTCTATCCTGGCCTCCATCCCGGCCTCCATCTCAGCCTCCGTCCCGGCCTCCATCCCGGCCTCCATCCTGGCCTCCATCCCGGCCTCCATCTCAGCCTCTATCCTGGCCTCCATCTCAGCCTCCATCCCAGGCTCCATCCTGGGCCTCCATCCTGGGGCCTCCATCCCGGCCTCCATCCTGGCCTCCATCCCGACCTCCATCCCAGGCTCCATCCTGGGCCTCTATCCTGGGGCCTCTATCCCGGCCTCCATCCCAGCCTCCACCCAGGGCCTCCATCCTGGCCTCCATCTCAGCCTCCATCCCGGCCTCCATCCCGGCCTCCATCCTGGGGCCTCCATCTCAGCCTCCATCCCAGCCTCCACCCAGGGCCTCCATCCCAGCCTCCATCCCGGCCTCCATCTGAAGACTCCATCCTGGGGCAAACCACGGAGCACCTCACAGCCCTTTCCAGTAAAAAGCTCACAGCATCGAAGAGTCTCCTGTGAGTTTTGGGGTCATTCTGTTCAATCCTGACATTTCATAAACGGGAACTAGAACACAAACCATTAAGGCACTGCACTCAAAGGTACCCGCAGGCGAGGGGAAGCCAGGCTGGTCCTGAGCCCCGCCCTCACCCCGATCACATGGCTTTTACACACACACACACACACACACACACACCCCAGAGGCCGGTGCAGGGGCCCGCAGCCTGGCCCGCTCCCTGCAGCAGTCTGGAGCCCTGGGGGATGTCCGGCTGACGGCTAGGCCCACGAGGAGCGGCCTGGGCTGCAGCCGCACATCCTTAGTGAGGAGGCGGGAGAGGTCGCCAACCAAGAGCCCGGCTTCTGGCTGAGCACCTGCCCCCTGGTGGTCAGCGCGTGTCATAGCGACCAGTCGCTCCACGGTTGGGTCAATTTGCATATTACCCTTTTATTACATAGGATATTTTATTTCAGAGAGGAAGGGAGCGGGAAAGAGACAGAAACACCGATGCTGAGAGAGAATCGCTGACCGGCTGCCTCCTGCACGCCCCACACTAGGGACTGAGCCCATCAAACTCGGGACCCGCCAGTCATAGGCTGGCGCGCTACCCATTGAGCCACACTGGCTCGGGCCCGGGTCAGGCCAGGGCCGGGACGTTACCTTTGAAGTGCGTCGTGTCGATCTCCACGTGCGTCACCACGCCCGGGTGCGAGAGGCGGAACACGGCCCACTCGCCGCCGAGCACCAGGAGGGCGCCGGTCTCGTCGCACTGGAACGCAGGGGCCACGCGTGAGCCCGCGTGCCACGCAGAGCCCGCCCGGGGCAGCGGGAACCGCGGTCCTCCCCTCCCTCCTGGCTGTGAGCACGGCTTGGGGTTCAGGCGGGGCGTGGCTGCCCGTGTCCTGCCTCCTGCCATGTCTGCAGGCCGCCTGGCGCGGGCTACCAGAGCCGGAAATGCCTGCCAATCCCCCGCATGCTCTCCCCCACCCTTTTTGTTCCTCCTCCCCTGAGGGTGTTTCCCCCCTGGGTTTTAGAGAGAGTAAGGGCGGGGAGAGAGAGAGAGACACCGTGTGAGGCCCATCAATGTTGCCTCCCGCCTGTGCCCCCACCAATGTGCCCGACCGACGTGGCCGCCACTGGAATCGAACCCGAGACCCGGTGTGGGCTGAGGCTGCGAGCGCCCGGCTCACCTGCAGCACGGGCGGCCGGTCGGGCCTCCTCGCCGTCACCCAGCCGTCCGCCGCCGACCGGGGCTGCCCGACGCCTGCGGGGAGAGCGCTGAGGCCCGGTCTGCTTCCCGCGAGGACGCCCCCTGGGGCCCCGGCCGGCGCCACCCCCAGCTCCTGCTGCCGCCGCGGGCCAGCGGCCATGGTGCCAAGGGGACGCTTCCTTTCAGACCAGAACCAGCACCGTGACCGCCATCGTGAGGACCCGCCCACTGACGGCCATTAGCCTCATCCGCCAGGGCCCCCGGCCTCACCGGGGCCTCGGCCGCACGGGGGGGGGGGGGTGGGGGGGTGGAGGGGGGCTCGGGCCGCACCGGGGCCTCGGCCGCACGAGGGGGGGGGGGGCGGGGGGATGGAGGGGGGCTCGGGCCGCACCGGGGCTCGCCGGGCCCGCACACCCAGGCGCGCCGGCCGCAGCCGCTCACCGATGATCCGGTTGGGGTGCCCGAAGAGGGCGTTGCTGAACCCCACGCAGGCGCCGCCGCTGGCCATGGCCGCCAGGTCTACCGGCTCCTTGGGGTCGGCGGCCGCCCAGTCCTTGTGCCCGACGCCGTACACCCGGAGGCGCGCGACCCCGCCGTCTGCGCAGGGAGAGCCGCGGGGGCTCAGAATCCTCCGAAGCCCTCACCCACCCTCCGCCACCCCTCTCCTCTCCCACCCACCTCCCACGCCCGCCCGCCCGCCCCAGGCCCGCGCTCTGCCGGCTCCCGGCTCGGCCTGGCCGGCCTCAGGAGCCCCTCCCGCCCGACACCCACACAGACGCTCCGCCGCAGGCAACGCCCAGAGTCCCTCAGACGAGGGCGGGGCCGGGGAGGCCGGGGAGGCCGGGGAGGCCGGGGAGGGGACGGGGGGGTGACGGGGGGCCTGAGAGGAGGGAGATGTGCCACGCTGACCGGTGCGGGACACATGCACACGCTCACGCACGGACACGCACGGACACGCACGGCGGCTGCTGGGTGTGCGATGCAGAAACGCTGTGATGAAGCACAGCTACCGCCGCCCACACGCCTGTGCCATCGCACCCCAGAGTCCAGCCTCCCCCGGCTCGGCTCCCTCACATCCTCCCTTCTCCCCCCTCTTCCCCCCCCACAGACACACACAGAGACACACACACACAGACACACACACACAGAGACACACACAGACACGCACACACAGATACACACACACAGACACGCACACACAGAGACATACACACACAGATACACACACACAGACACGCACACACACACAGACACACACACACACACAGATACACACACACACACACGCACACACACACAGACACAGATACACGCACACACACACAGACACACACACACACACAGATACACACACACACAGATACACACACACACACACACACACACACACCCCGGCAGCCCTGGTAAGCCCTGTGGCTAAGGACAAACGGGAGGAAAGGAGCTGAGATCCGGGACCAGAGAGGGTGGCGGCCCGGTCGGCGGGGCTCAGTGATGAGCGTCCACCCAGCAGCCGGGAGGCCCGGGTTCGACTCCCGGTCAGGGCACAGGCGTGCGGGAGGCGGCCGACCGGTCACCCTCTCACAGTGGGTGTCTCCTCTCCTTTGCAGGAAGGGTGCCTGCGCCTGGTGTTTGAACCCGGGCGCGGAGGAAGGCCGTGGAGGGCCGCTCACCCGGGAAGATGTTGAGCCGGACGTGCGTCCATTTCTGCTGGGAGTTGACCAGGAAGTAGTTGTGGCCGGAGGCTGGCGTCCCGGGTCTCAGCACCGTCCGGGGGACCAGGACGTCCCAGTCGCCAGAGTGCAGCTGCGGGCGGACACGCAGTCAGCGGTGGCGGGAGGGTGGTCCCTCCCCCGGGCGGCGGGGTGGACGGGGGCCCGGCGGCGGGAGTGGTGGTCCCTCCCCGGGCGGCGGGGTGGGCAGGGGCCCGGCGGGGGGGTGGGCAGGGGCCTGGGAGGCGGGGTGGGCAGGGGCCTGGCGGCGGGGTGGGCAGGGGCCTGGGAGGCGGGGTGGGCAGGGGCCTGGACGGCGGGGTGGGCAGGGGCCTGGCGGCGGGGTGGGCAGGGGCCTGGGAGGCGGGGTGGGCAGGGGCCTGGACGGCGGGGTGGGCAGGGGCCGGGCGGCGGGGTGGGCAGGGGCCTGGACGGCGGGGTGGGCAGGGGCCCGGCGGAGGGGTGGGCAGGGGCCTGGACGGCGGGGTGGGCAGGGGCCGGGCGGCGGGGTGGGCAGGGGCCGGGCGGCGGGGTGGGCAGGGGCCTGGGAGGCGGGGTGGGCAGGGGCCAGTCGGCGGGGTGGGCAGGGGCCTGGGAGGCGGGGTGGGCAGGGGCCAGTCGGCGGGGTGGGCAGGGGCCGGGCGGCGGGGTGGGCAGGGGCCGGGCGGCGGGGTGGGCAGGGGCCTGGGAGGCGGGGTGGGCAGGGGCCTGGGAGGCGGGGTGGGCAGGGGCCTGGGCAGAGGGGTGGGCAGGGGGCCCGGGAGGCAGGGTGGGCAGGGGCCCAGCGGGGGGTGGAGGGTGGACAGGGGCCCGGGCAGGGGGGTGGGCAGGGGCCCGGCGGGGGGTGGGGAGTGGGCAGGGGCCCGGGCGGCGGGGTGGGCAGGGGCCGGGCGGCGGGGTGGGCAGGGGCCCGGGCGGCGGGGTGGGCAGGGGCCCGGCGGGGGGGTGGGCAGGGGCTGGGGGTGAAGGCCCAGGCCTGAGGCCCCGATGCCTCCCCTGCAGGATTCCCAGGAGGAGACGCCAGGATGGGATGGGGACGTGCCCTGGGCCCTGCCCGGCGGGCGTGGCTCGGTGGTTGAGCATCGACCTATGAACCAAGAGGTCACAGGTTCGCCCTGGCTGGTGTTGCTCAGTGGGAAGAGCGTCAGCCAGCAGACGGAAGGGTCCCGGGTTCGGTTCCGGGTACCTCGGTGGCAGGCTCAATCCCCCGTCCTGCTCCGGGCAAGTGTGGGAGGCAGCCAATGGGTGAGTCTCTCTCATCGATGTTTCCCTCTCGGTCTCTCCCCTCTGCTCCATTCTCTCTAAAACTCAGTGGGAACCTTCCTCGGAGGAGGATGAACAAAGGGCCACGGTTCCATTCAGGCCGGGCACAGGCCCGGGGGGGGCGGGGGGGGGGCTCAGGGGGGGGCGTGCAGGAGGCAGTGGATCCATGATTCTCTCTCATCACTGATGTTTCTCTCTCCCTGCCCCTTCCTCTCTGAAGTCAATGAAAATATATTTGAAGAATGTACCAGAACAAAGCCCCAGTCTATTCACATTATTAAATTCCTCAGGCAGCAGTTCCCTGTCAGCTTCCTATCAGAGGTGGGTGTTTGCTTTCAGCTCCGGGGCCCGGGGTCAGGGGGTGGGTAGTGGCACCTGGGAGCCACGCAGGCTCCGTGGGACCCGTCCCCGAGGCGGCCGGGCAGGCCCTGCAGCACGCGCCCCGCACTGTGTGGCCACGCCCGTGGCCCCTTCCCGCCGTCCCAGCCTCTGACCAGACCCCGTTACCTTAGCGACGGCTTCCAGCTCCTCGGCGGTGGCAGCCACTCCCATCCGGGGTCCTCTCGGTGGCACCGCTGGTTCTTTATCTGGAGTGAGAGCGGCCTCGGGGCTCAGGGCCCACATCCAAAACCAACCAGAATCTGCCCGCCGGCCGGCCGGCGTGGCTCGGGGGCTGAGCGTCAGCCTAGGAACCAGGAGGTCCGGGTTCGATCCCGGTGGGCACAGGCCCGGGTTTCGGCTGGATCCCCGGTGGGGCCTGCAGGAGGCGGCCGGTCCATGGTTCTCTCACCACTGGTGTTGCTCCCTCACCCTCCCCTCCTCTCTGACGCCAGTAAACACACACAGTGACTCGGGGAGCCGGCTCGGGGAGCGAGTGCGAGAGCCGGTCTTCCAGACTCCACGGGGCCTTTCTCCGGTCAGAGCCGCGGAGCCGCCGTGTGCCGGGCGCTGGCCGCCCTGCGGGTCCGGCTGCCGTCAGCAGAGCCACCATTTCCTGTGAAGCTGTGCCCTCGAACCTGGCCTCCCCCTCCCCACTCCCCCCCCCTCACCCGCAGGGAAGGCGGCTGCGTCTCTGAGGGCTGGTGCCGGCCCCACGGCTGGCTCACTCCTGGCTCGGCCCCCCCAGCCCCCTGCCGGCCACGGGACACGGCACCTCGGCGAGGTCTGGACGTGGGGATAGTGCCATCTAACCGGGTCCGAGAACATGGCTACGTTCACAGTCAGAAACCGCAGAGCGGGCACGGGAGTCTGAGCGAGAGGCCCTGACCGGCTGCTGAGCCGTCTGGGCGGGAACTCACCGGCAGGGGGACGGCTGACGCCCTCCCCGCAGAGCCGGCCAGACGGGTGGACAGCTGGGCCCCCTCCCTGCAGAGCCGGCCGGGCAGGGGGACAGCTGGACCCCCCCCCCTGCAGAGCTGGCCGGTCAGGGGGATGGCTGGGCCCCCCCCCCGCAGAGCTGGCCGGTCAGGGGGACGGCTGCCCCCCCCCCCCGCAGAGCCGGCCGGTCAGGGGGACGGCTGCCCCCCCCCCCTGCAGAGCCGGCCGGGCAGGGGGACGGCTGGGCCCCCCGCAGAGCCGGCGGGCGGGGTCCTCACACACCTTCGTCCACGTTGGCTGCTTGAATGGACACGCGAGGGGCGTGGTCTCCGGCGAAGTGGGAGATGTCCACGTCCAGGCCCCGGATGGTGCCCCGGATGCCCAGCTTGACAATGCACCAGTCGTGGCCTGCAGGGGGCGCACACAGCGGCCCTCAGTCCGCCGGCCGGCGCGGCGGCGGCGCCGGGGAAACTGGAACCAACGACGTGCCGGCCGCGGGGCTCGGGCTGAGCATCGACCCAGGAACCAGGAGGTCAGGGTTCGATTCCGCTCAGGGCTCAGGCCCAGGCTGTGGGCTCCATCCCCAGAGGGGGGCGTGCGGGAGGCAGCCGGCCCGTGCTTCCCTCTCCTCCTTGGTGTTTCTCCCTCCCTCTCCCTTCCTCTGACGTCAATAAAACAGCAGCCCTGGCGGGTCTGGCTCAGTGGATAGTGCTGGCTCTCCGAAGAGTCCCGGGTTCGATTCCAACCCAGGGCCTGTACCTCAGCTGCAGGCTCAGTCCCGGCCCTGGTCAGGGCTCCAGGAGGAGGCAATCCCCCCGTCTCCCCCATCGCTGTTCTCTCTGACTCTCCCCTCCCTCCACTCTGAAAACCCACGGAAAAGCCTCCTCCGGGGAGGAGCGACCGCAGACAGACAGACAGACGCACACGCGGTGGGAGGGACCGCAGACAGACAGACGCACACACGGGGGGAGGGACCGCAGACAGACAGACAGACGCACACGCGGGGGGAGGGACCGCAGACAGACAGACGCACACACGGGGGGAGGGACCACAGACAGACGGACGGACGCGCCCCGGAGCAGCCCGGGAGCCGCCGGGTCGGGGGGCGGCCAGCTCACCTGGGGTCCTCCTTCGCCGCGTCTCCCACCCGTCCTTCCACCGGCCGAACTGCGTGTATCTGTGCTCCTCGCCCCGCGGGCTGTCGCTCTGCCGCGGAGAGGACGCCGAGCTCCGTGCTCCAGACCACGTCCTCCCGCCGCCGCCCACCGAGCGGGAACACCTCCCGAAACGCAGGACGGGCGTTCGCTCCCACCCGGCGCGGCCCCTCCGCTGACTCCCCCGGTCTGCTGTCCCACGCCAGCTCCGGGAGGGGGCAGCCGCGACCCCGCCGTCCGGAGGGTGTGCCTTCTCTCGGCCCGGCCCCTCAGCGCCCCCTCTCCTTCCCCCCTCTTCCCCCCTCCTCCCTCCTCCCCCCTCCCTCCTTCCCCCTCCCTCCTCCCTCCCCCCTCCCCCTCCTCCCTCCTTCCCCCTCCTCCCTCCTCCCTCCCCCCTCCCCCTCCTCCTTCCTTCCCCCTCCCTCCCTCCTCCTCCCTCCTTCCCCTCCTCCCTCCTTCCCCCTCCCTCCTCCTCCTCCTTTTTCCCTCCTCCTCCTCCCTCCCCCCTCCTCCCTCCTTCCTTCTCCCCTCTTCTCCCCTCTCCCTTCCTCCTCCTCCTCACTCCTCCTCACTCCTCCCCCCTCCTCCCCCTTCCTCCCTCCTCCTCCCTCCTCCCCCTCCTCCTCCCTCCTCCCTCCCCCCTCCTCTCCCCCCTCCTTCCCCCTCCCTCCTCCTTCCTCCTCCCTTCTCCCTCCTCCCTCGCCCCCTCCTTCCTCCCCCCTCCTCCCTCCTCTTCTCTCCTCCCCCCTCCCCCCTTCCTCCCCATCCTCCCCCTCCCCCCTCCTCCCCCCTCCAACCTCCTCCCTCCTCCCCCCTCCCCCTCCCCCCTCCTCTCTCTGCCCTCCTTCCTCCCCCTCTCCCCTTCCCGGCAGTCAGGCCTCCACACTCGGTCTTTCCACTTCACCCCTCCCGTCCCCCCACCTCCCCTCCTTCTCCCTCTCCCTCCTGCCCCTCCCCTCCCCCTCCCCCTCCCCTCTCCCTCTCCCTCTCCCTCTCCCTCTCCCTCTCCCTCTCCCTCTCCCTCTTCCCTTCCCTCTCCCTCTCCCTCTCCCTCTCCCTCTCCCTCTCCCCCTCTCCTTCCTCTCCCCTCTCCCTCTCCCTCTTCCCTCTCCCTCTCCCTCTCCCTCTCCCCCTCTCCTTCCTCTCCCTCTTCCCTCTCCCTCTCCCTCTCCCTCTCCCTCTCCCTCTTCCATCTCCCTCTCCCTCTTCCCTCTCCCTCTCCCTGTTCCTCTCCCTCTCCCTCTCCCTGTCTCTCTCCCTGTCCCTGTCCCTGTCCCTCTCCCTCTCCCTCTCCCTCTTCCTCTCCCCTTCCCTCTCCCTCTCCCTCTCCCTCTCCTTCTCCCTCCCCCTCTCCCCTCTCCCCTCTCCCCTCTCCCCTCTCCCCTCTCCCCTCTCCCCTCTCCCCTCTCCCCTCTCCCCTCTCCTGCTGAGTACCTTTATCAGGTTTTCTGCAGGAGCAAAGAAGTCGTCTGTTGCGAACACAATCTGGCAGACAGAGGAGGAGACAAAGGACGGAGTTAAACACGCTTCCTTCGGCCTCGGTAACGGAGGCGTGGAACGGCCCGGGAGGGAATGACGACAGTCAGGCCTCCACACTCGGTCTTTCCACTTCACCCCTCCCGTCCCCCCGCCTCTCTCCCCTCCCCACCCTCTCTCTCCCCCACCCTCTCTTCCGCATCCCCTTCGCCGACTGGATGCCCGGCACTAACTTCCCACAAAACAGGCAGCTCGCCCGGCCGGCTGGCTCCGGGGCTGAGCGTGGACCCAGGATCCAGGAGGTGAGGGTTCGATTCCCGGTCAGGGCACAGGCCCGGTGCGGGCTCGATGCCCAGTGTGGGGCGTGCAGGAGGCAGCCAGTCCGTGATTCCCTCTCATTGTGGACGTTTCTCTCTCTCCTCCTCTCCCTTCTTCTCTGACATCAATAAAAACATAAAATAGAGAGAAGCCCGGACTGGCCCTGACCAGGAGCCACACCGTGACCTCCTGGTTCCCAGGCCGATGCTCACCACGAGCCAGGCCGGCCGGCAAAGCAGGGCGCTGGGTGGGTCAGGCGGGGCGTGGATGCTTCCCCTTACGCCCGCGGTGGGCAAACCCATCGGCCCACAGAGCCAGATACCAACAGCACAGCGACGGACACGTCTCCGGAGAGCCACGTGTTTTAAATGCAAACTCCTTCTCACGCCACTTCTTCCACACAGACTCGCCCAGGCCGTGGTGCTTTGTGGAAGAGCCACTCTCCAGGGGCCAGAGAGCCGCCTGTGGCTCAGCCTGTTTGCCGAGCACGACTTACCGTCCTGAGGTCTTAGAGGTCCGCCCCCTGCCCGGCCGTCCTGCCTCGGACCTGGGACCTGGCACCTGTGGGGGGGGCGGTGCCCAGACCTCCCGGGCGCCCAGGCCCCAGCTCCGCCCGGGACAGTGCGCCCTCTCAGGGTGCAGGACGGCCCCGGCGCTCCCTCCCAGGCCTGCGGTGGGCCCCCCAGGGCCCTGCCAGTCCTGCCCTTCAAACCGGCTTCTCGCAGCGAGGGGCCCCCGAGCGACCTCCGACCTTCCCTGGCAGACACCGCTCACCTTGCCTCCCACGGACTCGGATGCCATGTCGATCAGCTGGACGAAGTCCGGAGACCGGGCCAGCTTCCCCTCCCTGGGCGAGTCCACCATGTTTCCTGGGGGAGAGAGGGGCGGTCAGCCGGCTGTGCGGGCTCCAGCCGGTCAGGAGGGTTCGAACCACAGCGACCCTCCCGGAAGGCGCAGCTGTGAGCCAGGAGGTCAGGGTTCGATTCCCGGCCGGGGCACAGGCCCGGGTTGCGGGCTCATTCCCAGTGGGGGGGCGTGCAGGAGGCAGCCGATCAGTGATTCTCTCTCGTCACGGATGTTTCTCCCTCTCTCCTGTCTCTGACACCAATAAACGTGTATTTTAGAAATAATAACAATAGTAAGTGAACACAGAGGCGGCGCCACCTCACCAGCAGCCGGGAGCCGTGTCTAGGACTGGATTCCTCGCTCTGCAGACGCCAGCCCAGGTCTCATGGCGCTCCCGCGGGCCCAGCAGGGAGGACTGCGGCGGCAGGGGCAGCCTGGCTGTGCCGCTGAGGTCACAAGGGCAGGGAGGGGCGCCCCTCCCTGGAGAGGCCCCCTCCCTGCAGAAGCCCCTGCGAGGGGGCGGCCGGCCGGCCTGTCACAAACACAGACCTGGGTCCCCGGCGCCAGCCCTGAGGGAGGCCCCGCCCCCCGGCCTGCCAGGAAGCCTGGCATCCCGGAGGCTCACCCGCCCGGGCAGCCACAGCCAGCCCCAACCTCCTCGGCTCCCGCACACAGGAAGCTCTGAGATCTAAGATCTGACCAAACACAGCTTCTGATTGATTTACAGAAATATCTATAATAATAAAAGTGTGATATGCTAATTAGACCAGAAGGCCAAACAGCACAAGGACCGTCAGGACCACCTTCTGGGACCACCCTGTGCACCCACCGGTGCCAGGCCAGCCGGGTCCGGGTGCCAGAGGGAAGCCGGTGCTGGCGGCCAGGGGAAGGAAGGCCCACTCTTGCCCGGATTTCACGCATTCATTGGCCTCTAGTATAATAATGATTAGCTACCCTCTTTGCCCCAAAGAGACTTTTTTAAAATATATATTTTATTGATTTTTTTACAGAGAAAAAGAGAGAGGGACAGAGAGCTAGAAACATCAATGGGAGAATCATCATTCAGCTGCCTGTGGCATACCCCCCACCGGGGATATGCCGGCAACCAAGGTACATGCCCTTGGCCAGAATCGAACCCGGGACCTTTCAGACCACAGGCTGACGCTCTATCCACTGAGCCACACTGGTTTCGGCCCAAAGAGACTTTTAAAGAATTGAATGCCTGTACTTGGACATAAGGATTTTGGTCCCAAGAACTAACCAATCAGAAGCAACCTCATCCCGCACCGTAGCCAATGAGATGCGGTTATATGACCCACGTATGGCTATGTGCTCAGGTCAGAGCAGTCATGTCTGACAGCTATTTTGTGTTGGCTGTTGTCTTTTTTTTTTTTTTTTTTTAATTATTTCAGAGAGGAAGGGAGAAACATCAGTGATCAGAGGGAATCATGGATCAGCTGCCTCTTGCACGCCCCACACATGGGATCAAGCCCCCACCCCAGGCCTGTGCCCTGGCCGGGAATGGAACCGTGACCTCCTGGTTCCTAGGCCGAGGCTCAGCCCCTGGGCCTGCCGGCCGGGCCCTTTCTGCTGGATGGGGACTCGGTCGGCATCTGGGAAACGCCCCGGCCGTGGCTCCCACCTGCTGGCCTGAATCGGGTCACAGCTGGTGGCCTCACCTGCCTCCTTCCCCCGTCTCCCATCCAGGAAGCGTGAGGGTCCCCCCACGAGAGCCATGTCCGAGTCCGGGCAGCAGGCCCATAGGAGGATGGGGGCGGGCCCAGATGTTAGAGGGCCACACAGCACCCCCCCCCCCCCGCCCAAGCCACTGTCCTCTCCCCTCCCTCCCCTCCCTCCCCTCCCTCCCCTTCCTCCCCTGCCTCCCCTCCCTCACCTGCCTCCCCTCCCTCCCTCACCTGCCTCCCCTCCCTCCCCTCCCTCCCCTCCCTCACCTGCCTTCCCTCCCTCCCCTCCCTCCCCTGCCTCCCCTCCCTCCCCTCCCTCACCTGCCTCCCCTCCCTCACTTTCATCACCTCCATCACCTGCCTCACCTCCCCTGCCTGCCCTGGTTCTCCCTGCACCTCCCGCCTCTCTCTCTCTCTCTCTCTCTCTCTCTCTCTCTCTCTCTCTCACACACACACACACACACACACACACACACAACATGCCACCCCTCCCCCCTCATGGATGCAGCCTGATGCTTGGCAGGTTCAGTCACTGCAAGGTCACCCTCCCGCCACTGAGAGGCGGTGTGGCCATGCAGATGGAGGTCACCGAGGCCGGGTGTGGGCTCGGCCTCACTGTACTGCTGGAGGGGTGGCCCCGGCTGGGGGTGAGGGGTCCATCTGTCCAGCAGCCAGAGGACCCGAGTCCGACAGCGCCACACGAGGCCCCTTCTGCCGGGAACGAGGGAGGGGACGGGGATATTTTTGTCCCAAAGCCGCTAGGTCTCGGGAAATCTGTGGCCCGGCCACAGCTCATTGGAGAAATGAACAGCCCGCCCTGGCCTGTGTGGACCAGAGGACAGGGCGTCAGCCTGCAGGTCGAAGGATCTCGGGTTCGATCCCTGGTCAAGGGCATGTACCTGGGCTCCAGGTTCCGTCCCTGCGCCCGGTGTGGGCGTATTTGGGAGGCAACCACGAGGTGCACATTCTCTCGTCCGTTTCTCTCCCCTCCCGGCCCTGAGAATAAGGAGTCATCTTTTCTGTCAAAGAGCAGCTCAGACGGGTCTGGTGACTTGGCAGCCGCCATGGTGGCGCCATGGTGGCCGCATGGCTTGCAGCCCCCTGGGGGCCGCCATCCTGAAGCAGCAAAGGCCAACCCCTCCCTTTGAGCCAGCCACTCGCGAAAGGCTGTCCCTGAGCTCCAGTCCAGGGGGAGGCACAGGTCACGGGCTCAGGGCTGTAAAGCCCAGCAGACAGTCCGCTCCGTGTGCAGGCGCTCCCAGACCACGTGTGCACCATCCACATGAAGGAAAGATGTCTGCCTGCCGCCCGGCTCCCGAGCCTGTGGGTTCTACCAGGACCCTGACTGGGCGCTCGCCTTATTCCTAACCCCTGCCCCCACTCCCCTGCCCCCTCCCCAAGCCTCCTCCTCTCCCTCCCCCCGCCCTGCCCTCCCCCTCCCCCGCCCTCCCCCCACCTCCCCCCCTCCCCCTCCCCCCGGCCCCTCTCAAACCCCGGGAAAACCCTCATTCCGGGGTCAGAACAACACACATGCAGCTGCTCTTGTGAAGTTTATTCCTCTTTCCTAGCCCGCTTCCGGCAAAGCACAGGTCCCTCCGGGCTAGCGTGGCAGCAGCGCGCATGCGTGTGTGCGTGTATGTGCGTGCGTGTGTGTGCATGTGCGTGTGTGTGCGTGTGTATGTGCATGTGCGTGTGTGTGCGCAAGTGTGTGTGCACGTGCGCCTGTGTCATTTACAGAAACAGGTCAGAGAGACGTGGGCTTCCCCATGGGGACGAGGGGCGGCCGCCGCCCGGGCTCCCTGCTGTGACATAGGCTTCCAGCGCCGTCAGACGGCGGCCGTGCGGGGCAGGCACACGGGACCCCGGCCACAGCACGGGCTGGAGCTGCGCGGGGACACGGAGACGCTGCTCCCCGCACATGGCACACGGCACACGGCACACGGCACACGGCACACGGCACACGGCCGTCTGGGCTCAGCAGGGAGCGTCGCCCTGAGCCTGCGCCCGCGGCCGCCCGGACAGGGTGGTCCCCCCCTCCGGCCATCGGCGGCCCCGCGGGCAGGCGGGGGCGCAGGGACCGCCGCTCACACGTGCTCCTTGTCGAACTCGCACAGGAAGTGCATGGGCAGGTGGCAGGCCACGTCGTTCCAGCCGCCCGAGGCCTCCATCTCCACGCAGTCCTCGCCGTCGCGGGCGTTGTTGGGCTCGCCGCCGCGCCAGCGCTGGAAGGTCTGCATGGGCGAGCCGTCGGCGTACAGGAAGGTGCCCTCGCGGTCCAGGTCGCTGATGCCGATGAAGACCCGGGCCAGGCCGGCCTGCGCCACGTAGGCGGCCAGCAGCCCGTTGGTGGCCTCGTCCCGGGGCATGGCCAGCACCCCCCCGCGCCCCTGGCAGGCCCGCTGGGCGTCCAGGTAGGCCCGCTCCTCCTTGACCAGCAGGTACAGCTTGGCCTCCGTCTCCCGCACGCCGGCCACCGCTGCAGGAGGCAGGCGGAGTGAGCACTGGCGTCCTGTCACACACTCGGCGGGCACACTCGGTGGGCGCACTCAGGGTACACTCAGTGGGCACACTCGGCGGGCACACTCGGGGTGGGCACACTCGGCGGGTGCACTCGGGGTGGGCACACTTGGGGTGGACACACTTGGGGCAGGCACACTCGGGGTGGGCACATTCAGAGCGGGGACACTTGGGGTACACTCAGTGGGCACACTCGGGGCGGGCACACTTGGCGGGCACACTTGGGCGGGAACACTTGGGGCAGACACACTCAGGGTGGGCACATTCAGGGCAGGCACACTCGGGGTACACTCAGTGGGCACACTCGGCGGGCACACTCAGTGGGCACACACACAGATGGCGGGCAGCTCTCACAGGCTCCGCGGAGCCACGTGAACCGTGGGTGCCAGGGGTTGGGGGCCAAGGGGACGAAGGGGGCAGGGGATGCAGGGACTCCGGGCGCACCCACCATGCTTTATGAACTTCAGCTCCGAGGTCAGCTGGGTGACCTGGTTGTCCACCTCCCCGATGGCCTTCCTCAGCTGGCTGCACTCACAGGGCACACCTGCAGGGACGGCGTTAGGGAGCTGAGCCAGGGCCGCTCGGGAAAGAAGGAAGGGGGCTCAGGGGTGGGGCTCAACCTAGGAACCAGGAGCTCAGGGTTCGATTCCCGCTCAGGGCACAGGCCGGGGTTGTGGGCTCCATCCCCAGAGTGGGGTGTGCAGGAGGCAGCTGATCCGTGATTCTCTCTCATTATTGGTGTCTCTCTCTGTCCCTCCCCCTCCCTCTCTCTCTGAAAGTCAATAAAAATATGTATTTAAAAAAGAAGAAAGGAAGGAAGTAGCCACTCCCCAAAACACAAATGTCCCTCCACCGACCCGCAGCCCTGGAGGCCGGGGAGAGGGCTGGGGCCTGGCTCAGTCCTGGCCCGGCAGGCGCTAGAGGCTCTGGGAACAATGGTGGCGGAACCGGGGTGCAGGGTGAGTGCTGGGGCGAAGAGGGGGTGCAGAGTGAGTACTGGGGCGAAGAGAGGGTACAGGGTGAGTGCTGGGGTGAAGAGGGGGTGCAGGGCGAGTGCTGGGGCGAAGAGGGGGTACAGGGTGAGTACTGGGGTGAAGAGGGGTTGCAGAGTGAGTGCTGGGGCGAAGAGGGGGTGCAGGGTGAGTGCTGGGGCGAAGAGGGGGTGCAGGGTGAGTACTGGGGCAAAGAGGGGGTGCAGGGCGGGTACTGGGGTGAAGAGGGGGTGCAGGGCTAGTGCTGGGGTGAAGAGGGGTTGCAGAGTGAGTGCTGGGGCGAAGAGGGGGTGCAGGGTGAGTGCTGGGGCGAAGAGGGGGTGCAGGGTGAGTACTGGGGCGAAGAGGGGGTGCAGGGTGGGTACTGGGGTGAAGAGGGGGTGCAGAGTGAGTGCTGGGGCGAAGAGGGGATGCGGGGTGAGTACTGGGGCAAAGAGGGGTTGCGGGGTGGGTACTGGGGTGAAGAGGGGGTGCAGGGTGAGTGCTGGGGTGAAGAGGGGGTGCAGGGTGAGTGCTGGGGTGAAGAGGGGGTGCAGGGTGTGTGCTGGGGTGAAGAGGGGGTGCAGGGTGGGTACTGGGGTGAAGAAGGGGTACAGGGTGAGTGCTGGGGTGAAGAGGGGGGGCAGGGTGGGTACTGGGGTGAAGAGGGGGTGCAGGGTGATACTGGGGTGAAGAGGGGGTGCAGGGTGGGTACTGGGGTGAAGAGGGGGTGCAGGGTGAGTGCTGGGGTGAAGAGGGGGTGCAGGCTGGGTACTGGGGTGAAGAGGGGGTGCAGGCTGGGTACTGGGGTGAAGAGGGCGGCCAGAGGAAGACGGCAGGGTCCCCGATTGGCCGTGTGGGGGAGGACAGAGGTTCCGCCGGTGCTGAGCAGACTGTGGGCCGGGAGCGCAGCCCGCAGTCCCGGGGGGGAGCGAGTTGGCTGAGGGGCCGGCTCCAGCGCCGGCAGCTCAGGGCCTGGGCTCCCGGCAGAGCCGCGTCTGCAGGCCTGTCAGCCGGCGGCAGTACCTGGTTCTCCGCTGGGTCCCGGGGGCCCCGCGTCGCCGGAGTCCCCCTTTTCACCTGAAGGAAAGGAAGGCGGACGGGGTGTGAGCCACGATTAACCACGTGTTCCTCACGTGTGACCGTCACCAGAGCCGTCCCCCGCGGGCGGCCAGCGGTGACTGACCCCCGGGGCGCACGGGGTAGAACGTGTCACATGGCAGCGCACGGGACACACACGGCCTGCGGGCGGCGGGGGTCTGCGGTCGCCTCAGAGCCGTGGGCGGGGTGGGGCGTGGCGTGGGCGTGGCGTGGGGCAGGGGCGTGGCGTGGCGTGGGCGGGGCGTGGGGCAGGGGTGTGGCGTGGGCGGGGGCGTGGGGCAGGGGCGTGGGCAGGGGCAGGGGGGTGGGCAGGGGCATGGGCAGGGGCGTGGGCATGGGCAGGGGCGTGGGCATGAGGCAGACGTGGGAGCTACCTTTAGAGCCGATGGGACCGATCTTCCCGTGGCGGCCCACACTGCCCTTCTGCCCCTTGTCCCCCACACCCCCTGCAGGAAGCAATGAGATCTAGTCAGTGACACAATGTCCCTCCCGTTAACACCACACGCACACACTCACACACTCACACACCCACACACTTTCTCACACACACACACACACACACACTTTCACACACTTTCACACACACCCACACACACACTCACACACTCACACACTCACACACACACACTCACACACTCACACACACACACACACACACACACACTTTCACACACACCCATACACTCACACACACACACTCACACACTCACACACTCACACACACACACTCACACACACACACACACTCACATACTCACACACTCATACACTCACACACACTCACACACACATTCACACACACTCACACACACATTCACACACACACACTCATACACACACTCATACACTCACACACACATTCATACACACATTCACAGTCACACACACTCAGATGCTCTCACTCACACACTCATACACTCACACACACATTCATACACACATTCACAGTCACACACACTCAGATGCCCTCACTCACACACTCATACACACACACACATTCTCATTCACTCACACTCACACAAGCACATGCACACTCTTGTACACATTCACACACTCACACATACACATGCTATACATACAATCTTAACACATAAATGCATGCACACACATATACACACATGCCTACATACACACACTCTACTATACACACACGCACACCAATCCAAACAGCATATTCCAGCACACACCTTCACAAAGGCACGCACACATGTGCACGCGTGCGCACACACACACACACACACACACACACACACGCCCGCACGCACAGCCCTCCCGCCGCCCGCAGGGCCGGGTCTGAGGGCCGGAAGCACCTTTCTCTCCCGTGGGGCCCACTCGCCCAGGCCGCCCGGGCGCGCCCTTGTCGCCCTTCTCCCCGGCGTCCCCTGCAGGAGAAGCCACGCAGTTACTGTTTGTTTCTGAGAGGATTGTTCCCGATTCCAGGGAAGGGAGAGGGAGAGAGCAATGAGACCGATTTCTGTGTGAACTCAGTGATCGGGCGGGAGCTCTGGCTGCGGCCCTGGGTGCAGGGCCACGTGGGGCTCGTGCCAGCCCGCTGGGCCCTGGAGTGTGGAGCTGGCCCTGCTTGGTCGCAGGTGTGGATCGGGTGCTTTGTAGAAACGGGTGACTCCTCCCGAGGTGCCCCCGCCGGCCTGCAGGCTCGCTCCGCCAGGAAGGAGACGCACACAGAACGACAGGAGCGATGGGGTTTCTCAGGAGGAAGAGGAGTGCCTGAAAGCGGTGAGCATTCGGCTGCGGGGCTGCGACCAGCCGGCCGGGCACCCTGCGGGGTTCTGCTCCGGAACGGGCTCATCGGCCACGTGGACAGGGTGGGGGGTCTCCTCCTGGGCCACGCACAGTGAGTGCAGAGCCTGGGGTAAAGGTCAGCTGCCTTCACGCCCACACGGACGACCGAGCTGCACAGAAATGGCTTCCCAGCACAGAATTCCTGGCCGAACAGGCAGTGGACACCCTGTATTCCAACCCTCGCTTCTTCAGATGGGGAAACTGAGGCCCACCGAGTCAGACTGGGGACTGTCAGCGCACAGGAGCTGGGGGGGGGGCAGAGGGGGGGGGCCCTGGGAAGGAGCCTTACCTTTGAGGCCGGGGACCAGGATCTGCACTGAGCAGGCATCATCCGCCGTCTGCTGAGCGCCAGCCGGCAGCACCAGCGACAGGAAGGCCAGGCTGACGAGGGCCAGCTCCCCCCTCATCCTGTGTGCGGGCGGGCTCTGACCCTGCAGGGAGGAGGGTAAACAGTGCCGGGAACGCCGGAACCAGGCCTGGAGACAGTGTGCAGGCCACCCCGCGGGCCAGGGGGCTGCTGGGAGCCTGCATGCTTTCGTCTCTCTCACTTATTACCGTGCTCCTCTGGTTCTTTTTTAAAAAATGAAACGGTATGTTTTTATTCACTTTTTTAGAGAGAGGAAGGGGGAAGGAGAGAGATAGAAACCTCAATGAGAGCCGAAACCGGTTTGGCTCAATGGATAGAGCGTCGGCTTGGGGACTGAAGGGACCCGGGTTCGATTCCGGTCAAGGGCATGTACCTTGGTTGCGGGCATATCCCCAGTAGGGGGTGTGCAAGAGGCAGCTGATCGATGACTCTCTCTCATCAATGTTTCTAACTCTCTATCTCTCTCCCTTCCTCTCTGTACAAAAATCAATAAAATATATTTAAAAAAAAGAAAAGAAAAAAAAGAAACATTGCTCGGCTGCCTCCTGCACGCCCCCCACTGGGGATCGAGCCTGCAGCCCAAGCCTGTGCCCTGACGGGGAATCGAACCCTGACCTCTTGGTTCACGGGACGACATTCAACCCCTGAGCCAGGCTCTCTTCTAGTTCTTTACAGCGGACTCTTCGCACGCACATGCACGCGCGCGCACACACACACACACACACACACACACACACAGGCGTGTTTGTGGTCCATGAAGCCTTGAGGCCCTCGCCTGGCCTCACATGCCAGCTCTGTGGCCCGTCCCCTCAGGCAGGCCTCTCCTGACCTTGAGGGAGCTCCCTGCCCGCTTCACCTCACGGCCACGTGTGCGCACAGGAGGCTGCGTGGCTGCGCTCGGTTTGCGTTTCGGGAGCCAGCAGTCACGTGTGGGTTCCCAGGGCTGGCCCCTCCGCCCCCATGCCCCGGGCAGCATCCGTGTAGCTCGGGCAGCCCAGGCTCTGACGACAGGGGAGAGGCGGGGAGGGGAGGGACAGGACACGGCTGTCCTGGGTCACTCGGGAGCGCCTGCCGACCCTCCTCACTGTGCTAGGCTCTTGGACCCGGCTGCCACTGCTGCATCCGTGGCCACGCCAAGCCTCCCCGATCCTGGTCAGCCCCAGGTCCTGCCGGCAGAGACGGGGCCGTGCACACCTGAGATCCGCACCTGCACCCTCACCCGCACCCCCACCCGCACCCTCACCCCAACCCCCACCCCCATCGGCACCCTCACCCGCACCCTCACTCTCACCCCACCCCCACCCTCACCCCCACCCCCACCCCCACCCCCACCCTCACCCTCACCCTCACCCCCACCCTCACCCCCACCCGCACCCCCACCCTCCTGGCTCCTCCTGCCGCTGGGAGGAGGAATTTCCTTCTATAGACGGAGAAGCCGCGGCCCCCAGGCCCCTGTAAGAACCTCCGTACCCGGGCCCAGGAGGCTCGGCCCTCCGTCAGCATCAGCGAAGGAGGCGGCTCCAGCGGGAGATTCCACGGAATTCCCGGCCGGAGCACAGGGCAGTGACGTCCGCAGTGACCACAGAGCTTCAGGCCCCTAACATCCCGCTGTTCCCGAGCACACCCACACGGCCCCACTGCCATCCCACACCGCGGAGGACGCACCAGGACCAGCCAGGGAGCACAGCCCCCGCCACCCTCCGACCCTGCCGCCTCCTGACCCGCCCACGGACCGGGCCCCAGGGCTGCAGCCAGGACAGGCTGCACCCAATGGCACATTTTCCTGATCTTTTACCCAAACCCCAGGCCAGCGAGCGGCCGCCCCATTATTTGTTAGGTATAGACACATCCTGCCTGCTCTCTTCTTGCGACAGAAACTCTTCAAAACTGCCGTGAATGGAAGAGCTGGGACGTCGGGCTCTGCCCTGCCGTGGCCAGAGCCTCCCACCGCCCGGGAGTCGGCATGAACGTGAGGCGGCCACATCACGTGTCCATCCGAGCCCCCGACCCTCCGGCTCCTCGGCCAGCGCCACGGCCAGCAGCACACCAGCATCAGGCCACAAGGGCCCCCCACTTTCCTCTCACCCCATTTGGGAGACCAGACGGCCCGCTCTGGGTGGCACACACGTCCAGGGCCCCATAACTGAGCCAGTGCAGGGACTGGGCGTCCACGTGCTCCCCCCTCCCCCGCCGGCAGGGGTCCAGCCCGAGCCTGTGCTGGCGGCAGGGACTGTCCTTCACGCGGACGGGCCCCTCGCCCTGCACCCAGGCCGTCAGGACCTCCACCGACCTGGTGAGCACCGCGGGCGCGCCTTTGCCTGGAGCTCGGCGCTGCCTGCGTCCCTCCACCGGCTCCTTCCCTGCTGCCCAGACCCGCCTTCCTAGGCAGCCTCTCCCCACGCTCACCCTCCGCCCGGCTCCCCAGGTGGCAATCCCGGCCAGGGCCTCCCCTACCTGAGGCAGGCGAGGCGGAGGCGTCCTGACTGCCGGGGACCCGCTGGGACACTGGGCGGTGCAGCCCCACCAGGGGAGCGGCTGGGGCCGTCCCACCGCCCAGCAAATGAGGCTGGCCCCGTTATCTGCGGCAGCTTCCTGTTTGAAACATCCCTGACCCGCCGGGCGGAGCGGACTGTGGGAACGCAGACGGAGTCAGGCTCCGAGGCGGCTGCTGACTCCCGCCCTCCCCTCCGCCCCGAGACCCAGCATCTGCTGCTCCCGTTCTTTCTTCTTCTTCTTTTAAAATGTACTTTATTGATTTTTTACAGAGGGAGGGAGAGGGGGAGAGTGAGAAACATGGATCAGCTGCCTCCTGCACACCCCTGACTGGGGACGTGCCCGCAACCAAGGTCCATGCCCTTGACCGGAATCGAACCCTGGACCTTTCAGTTTGCAGGCAGACGCTCTATCCACTGAGCCACACTGGTTTCAGCTCCCGTTTTCTTCTTGTGGGAGAAATAAGTGTGAGTGCCCAGGTCGGGGCACAGGCAGGCTGTGGGCTGGACCCCCAGTGAGGGCGTGGAGGCAGCCGATCTATGATCCCCTCATCAGGGACGTTTCCCCGGGCCCATGTGGGCTTCACAGCGAACCTGAGGCTGTCAGACCCCCCTCCCCCATGGTGACCCCTCCCTCGCTCCCTGTGCTCCCACGGAAAGGCAGCCCACGCTCCAGACGTGCTGGGGGACTGGGGCTCCCCTTGTACACCGGGCGAGCTTCTTTAAGAAAGAGGCGTAGATGACCGCAGAGCTGGCTTCAGAGCTGTTTATGCGATGGAAGGGGAGCAGTAACAGACCACAGCTGTATGTCTGACAGCCCCACGCGCCTCACCGGACGGGAGAATGGCTCTGCATCCACCCGCCTGCGGGGCAGCTCAGACACGGGCACCACAGGCCGCCGGGCAGGGAGACTCAGGGCCCGCCCCCCGGGGAAACGAACTCGGCAGGCGACAGCTCAGTCCACCAACGGCTTAAGGAACATTAACACCAACTCCGCCTCCTCCTGCACCTGGGAGAGCAGTTCCCATCCACCCCAGGAGGCTGGTGTTACCCAAAGCTATGGGAAGAGAGAGCAAACCCAGCTCCGGGCCACTACCCACAGGACAGATGCCAGCACCTTAAAGACCTTTATTGACGGGAGTCTCACCTGGCCCTTTCCCGCTGACTGTCCACCCGCCCCGCCCCGCCCCACCCCGCCCCGCCCCCACCACCTATAGTCTGGTCCATGGCTGGTCACCTCCCACCCACCCTACCACTGAGGTTCCAGTCTACAGATGCAAAATTCTGTAAGAATTTTTCTTTAAAAAAGCCATAACCAGTTTGGCTCGGTGGATAGTGTTGGCCTGTAGACTGAAGGGTCCCAGGATTGATTCACGTCAAAGGCATGTACCTGGGTTGGGGGCTGATCCCCCTTGGGGGGTGTGCAGCAGGCAGCCGATTAGTTTCTCTCATGGTGTTTCTAGCTATTTCTTTCCCTTCCTCTCTGTAAAAATCAAAAAAATATTTTTCTTGATTCAGAGAGGGATAGAAACATCGAGAATCGATTAGCTGCCTCCTCCTGAGGATGTGCCTGACTGGGAATTCATGACCACCTGGCCGCTAGGTAGACGGGCTGTTTCCAGTGGACTGAGTCAGGACGGTTTTAGCTGAACGTTCACTGCACCTCAGCAATGAGCAGCTTCTCCTAGGCTTGTCTTCCTCTCCTCCCGTGACCTCTGACCCTCCGGGGCCACTTCCAGACTGAGAATCCGAGTCTTGAGGTCACTATTTACATTCCTCGGGGATAAGGGGAGCCGTGGACAGCAGGCCAGCCTGGGTGGAATCTCACTGGAGGCCAGGCCTGCAGCCCTACCCCTGGGACACTGCCTCTCAGGACACCCCCACACTACCCTCCCAGGACCAGGCTTCACGCCTCCAGGAGGCGCAGAGCAACATGAACACCCTCCCCCCTCTCCCCCCCCAGCCTCAGAGCACTGCTCAGCTGGCCACTTGACACAGTCCCCAGGCGGCCCGTGCGTCATGCCAGGCACGGAAGATGGCAGTGAGAGCTGACACGAGGCTCAGCTTCACCTCCGACCGCCCCGGAGGCCTGGGCTGTGGAAGGAAGGGATCGGGCAGCTCACTGGCCCGTTCACACCTTAGATAAAACCCAACCTCACACCGCACCTCCCCAAGACCACGAAGACCAGCATGAGGCTCCACGTGGGAAGGCACGGCTCAATGAGTCCGGCTCACATCTCTGATAAATGGGCTGAAGGGCTGGCCAGGACCCCGAAATGTGCCTAATGCTACTGAGCTGTACGAGCAAAAACGCCCACGATGGTGAAGCCTGTGTGTGTTTAACCACAGAAGGAAATGAGCCAGACATGTTCTCTTCAGGCGGCGGTTGGAAGAAGCCCGCCTCTCAGGACTGAGCATGTCGGTACTGCTGGGGACGTCCACACCTTGGGGGTGCCCTCCGGCTGGACCACAGGAGGTGCTGGTCTGGGGCTACAACCCGACACCCATCACATCCCTGAAAGCTGGCCCGAGGAGGGAGCCTGACACCTCTCTGAAATTTGAAAGAGGCCTCAACAGAATACTGAGAATATTTTATTTAGTCATTTTCCTTTACAGTTGGAACTCTGGGAATTCAAAATTAACGTCCTTGCCTGTGAGCTTCTTATAGACACCAGAGAAAGTTTCAACCTACAAGAAAAAAAATAACTCGTCAAAAATAACAGAACTGTTCTACTGCCTCACTGAGAATCACACCCTGGAAACCACTCCCTCTCCCTCTTTCCCAATAACCCACAACACGCCCACTGGCACACAGCCGCCACGGGTAGTGGCATCTGTCCATCCTGTCCTGCTGCCACGGAGGGCCTCCCGCTGCCGCCCGGCCACCGCAGTGCCCGCACCCCAGCCCCCCAGCGGCGGCCACCTTGTGCTCGACGTTGTTCTGCTGCGCCTTGTCCAGGTGCACCTTGATGAGCCGGCTGCCGTCCAGCTTCACGCGGATGCGCTTGCCCACGATCTCGCTGGGGAAGACCAGGTCCTCCAGGATGGCGTCATGCACGGCGGTCAGCGTGCGGCTGAGGACAGGGCAGAGTGAGCACCGGGAGGCGCCGGCCCAGGGCGGGGCCAAGGGCACCGCTGCCAGTCACAGCCCAGGGCAAGGGCCAGGTCCCCCAACCACATCGGCACGTTTCTAGCCGCTCCTTACAGCAGCTCTAGCCCAACCGGGAGAGCGGCCTCCTGGTTGTCTGGAGGTCAGCGTGGACGCTCCTGGTAAGCGATCACCGGGTGCCGATCTCCAGGGAAGGGGCTGGGCCTTCACACCACCGCAGGCTTACGTGCTACCGCGATCATGTGATCATGCTTCCCCACCAAAGGTCCTCCAGGATCCTGGAGCTCCCGCGGCCTCTCGCCACCCTAACCCTCCTCCTCAGCCATCACTGAGGCAACACCCACCCCAGAGGCTTCTATCAGCAGCTCTAGGACAGCGGCCCCTGAGGTCCCCCAACTTCCAACCCATCACCCCCAAACTGCCATGGACCCCGTCCCCCTGACATCACATCCCCTTCACAGCCACGGGCTGCTGACAACGGGTCATGACTCCCACCCTTTGAGGCTGGGGGGGCGGGGGGGGGGGGGCGGCCGGGCGGCGCGAAGGACAGCCTACAGCCCTCCAACTTACAGAGCACCTGTGCCCTGGGTTTGTCTGGGGACCTGTCCCAGGTCAGCACCGGGCACCAACCCAGTCGCTGTCTGAGGTCCACACAGGAAGGGCAGGCGTGGTGGTGGCTCCCCAGGGGCTGCCAGGGGCTCACTGTGACACCCAAGCCCTCCATCACCTTGAGGACAGACTATCGGCTTCACTGACCACCGCTGCCCTTACAAGCACCTCCTTCTTCCAGGGCTGGGGAGGCGCTCACACGTGGACCTCCGCTCACTGCCCCTTCGGAGGAGCTAGAAGGAAGCAAACTCTGGCCGGCAGCTCCGTCGGCTAGAGCAGTGCCTCATACACCAGGTGGCAGGGGTCCCATCACGGTCAGGGCACGTGCAAACCAACCCGAATGCATGAATACTCGGAACAAATCAGCATCTCTCTAAAAGCAACAAGCAAGCATCTTGCAGACTCCATCGCTGGTTCATTTCTCTTCAAAGGGTGGCCACAGCAATGCAGCTTTGGTAACCACCAACCGGAGCCTGAGCTGCTGGTCAGCGGGGAAGTAGCTGAGACTTTGCTAGGTTAAAAGCCAAACATGTAAACCTCCGCACTGAATCTGAGACACTGAAGGCAGAGCACACAGGAAGGCAGGAGGCCCGCTGGGCCGCGGTGCCCGGAGCTGATCTGTCAGCAGCGAAAGGCTGTGGGGCCGCAGGAATGGGGGGAGAGGGCGCAGGTCTGGAGGCAGGTCCTCAGCTGAGCAGAGCACTGGGTCTGTTCTGTCCTCAGAGCTGAGATAACAAACTGCTTAGGGGCCACGACTAACAAACTAAATGCTCTGGATTATCTCCTGTATTTGATCTCTTGTAAACTAGCTAGGCCACAGAAAAACACTCCTGAATTCTTTTCCTGAGAGTGTACTTCTGAAAGCTGGGCCAGTGAGCTGAGGAAGACTCAGAAGCCCAGGTTGAGCTGCTTTGGCTCAGAAACGTCACAGACAGGTTCGGGGGTGTCACAGACAGTTTCAGGGGTGTCGGGGATGAGCCCGGGACGAGCTGCCGCTGCCCACCACTCCCCTGGTTCCGAGTCTCAGGAGGACCCTTAGGAAGGCACACCTGAGGGAAAGTTGGAGGTTCCCAGGAGGGAGAGCATGCTATTCCTGAATTCCGACACCAAAGCCGCCCAAGGACAAGCTCAAAGGGCTGAACCCTATAATCCAAGGCCCGGAAACCCCCCCCCTGATCTCCCCCTCCCCACCGCCCGCCCCATGACAGCCGGGATGGGCCAGCTCTCCAGGCTGTGCCTGTCTCACCACCTTCACTTTTTATTATTTTCCCAGGTTTTTAAAACTTACTTTAACAACTAAAAAAAAACCTTTTCTCCCTGTCCTGTGAGCACTTAACAAAGGCCCATCTGGCAGAGCAAGACACCAGAACCAGCACGTTTTCCTTAACCTGTTGGGAGGGCAGGGCTGCGGGCCAACCCTCCAATCCCCTGAAACCAGAGACCTGACCCAAGCCGACACCGAGGCCAGAGAGAACCAGCCAATCAGGCTGAACATCCGCACAGGCGGCTACAAGCCAATAGGTTCAACATGTGCCTTCACTCACAGCCAAGACCACAGCCTGGCCACCCCTCCTGGTGTGCCCAAATTAAGGGTCCTTCAGTTCCCTCCTTTGCCCAGAGCCAAGGACACCATCTCCATCCTGTGTGACAACCATGATCATGGTCCCAGCCACGTAGCACCTGTCACTCCTCCAAACCGTAAACATTAACTCCTGTTACCGAGGAAACCATCCTCAATTACAGCGGCTTCCCTAAACCACCCCCCCCCCCCCCCCCCCGTGACCTCAGAAGCCACCACAGCTCTTCCTGCAACTGCCCCACGAGACAGCGAGGCCGACAGACTCACCTCCGGGGCCGCTTCTGCTTGTTCTTGGTCCGGCTTTTTCGAGTTGGCTTCGGCAGAATCCGTCTCTGCAAGACAAACATGGTCATGTAACACCAACACAGGCCGTAAGGTGTCAGAGAAAACTATCAACTGCTTTAAAGACACTCACACAGAACCCAAACCCTTCGACCAGCCAGAGCAGGCGTGTTCCTGGGAAACCCTCCCGACGCTCCCCCTCCTCCAGAGGGCCCTCAGCACCCCAGCCTCCCTGCCTCCCCCGCGCAGCAAGCTTCAGGCAGGCTCTCCGGCAGGAAAACCCTGGCTCAGGTGCCGTAGTTTGAGCACCTCGTTAAGCAGCTCTGTTTACGCCATTTGCTCACTAACATTTACCCTTTAACCCGCCACAAGCATGCCTTCCCAGCTCTCCACCATCTAACCTCGTTCCTCTATGTCCACTGCAGGGCTACTTTACCACGCCAAGTGCCCACATGCACGATCCTACGAAGTTCAGTGAGAACGCCCTCCACCGGACACGCACCTGAGCGATGAAGACGACGTGCTTGCCGCTGAACTTCTTCTCCAGCTCACGCACCAGCCGGACCTGGATCTTCTGGAAAGACTTGAGCTGAGGAACGGGGACGAAGATGATGATAGCTTTCCGGCCGCCACCGACTTCAATTTCCTAAGAGAGACAGATGGGGAAATAGCCTAAGTGCCCACGAGCAGATGAATGGGTTAAAACTGGTACACCTGCACCATGGACTACTACGCTGCTGAAGGAACTCTTAGAATTCCCAACAGCAGGGATGGACAGAGAGCATTACGCTAATCGAAATAAACCAGTGGGAGAAAGATAAGTATCACATGATCTCACTCATTTGTGGAATACAGTGAACAACAAGAACAAAATAGATCGATCCAGAGACTTAGAAGCATCCAACAGACCGTCCAACCTCAGAGGGAAAGCAGGGATGCATATGTGTGTATGTGTGGTGGTGGGGGACGGACGGTAAAAGATCTTGTGTGTCTTTTAGGGCTTGTGTATGCACAGGAGCATGACCAGCGGACAGACTCGGGGGAGGGGGCGGACTGGGGAGAGGTCAATGAGGGAAAGGGAAGACATATGTAATATTTTAAACAACAAAGAATTTAAATTAAAAAAAAAAAGGCAGACACTAGAAAAAGACAAATCGAAAATACAAGGAAGCACAGATCAGAGGGCCTCAGAGGGAAGGCAGGGGAGGGTGGGGATAAGGACTTGTGTGCATGCAGATGAGCCTAACCAGTGGTCACGGACAACAGGGGGGTGGGGGCATGTGTGGGGAGGGGTGTGGGATGGGAATGGGGGTGAGGACAAATGTGATACTTTAGTCAATAAATAAAAAAGAGACAAATCCACAGCTGAGAGCTTCCCCGGTGCACACAGACCGGGGCCCTGACGCAGCAGCCCGTCCCACGGCCACGCCCTCCACTGTCACTTTCCGCCTCGCACGTGGCGGCCGGTCCGCGAGCGCACGCACACGTCACAGCCCACCGCGGGGATTCCGTTTAAGTCGCTTCCAACAGAAACGGGCTGGCTGCGCGCTGCAAACCCGACACCATGCAAGCACCGCGGCTGCTGAGCGCAAGACACGCGTCCCGAAACCTCCGGGTCCCCCGCGTGCGGAGCAGCGCGCTGAGCGCAGGGGCTGAACCTGGAGCGCCGCGAGCCGCCAGCCCCCTCCCCGCCAGGGGCCGCCCCTGCCACGGGTCCTCGCTGCGGGGCCCGAAGGGGCGAGAAAGGCCGCCGCCGCCCGCAGGGCAGCCTCCTGGGTCCCCGGCAGCTCGGACCAACAGCGCAGAGCGTTGGCCGCGGGACTTACCTTGGCCGCGGTGATGTTCAGCTCCCGCAGCTGGGCCTTGAGGTCAGAGTTCATCTCCAGTTCCAGCAGAGCCTAGAGGGGGGCGGGGGCGACCTCAGCGACCGAGCGGCCGCCGCCGGGACCCCCGTGCCCGCCGCCGCCGCCGGGACCCCCGCGCCCGCCGCCCGCCCCACGTCTCACCTGGGAGATGCCGGACTCGAACTCGTCGGGCTTCTCGCCATTGGGCTTTACAATCTTGGCGCTGGAACTGAACATGGCTCCCCCTGGAAAGAGAGCGCGCCCGAAGCTGAGCGGGCCCCCGCGCCCCCGCCCGCCCCGCGCGCGCCATCGGGGGCCGCAGGCCGCGTCATCCGCCGCATCCCCACCCGGCGAGCAGGGCCGGCCGCTCCAGAGCTGCCCCCAAAGCCCGTCGCCCTCCACATTGCCCGAAAAGTTCGCTCGGACAGGAGGCCCCACACTTACTTGGGTGAGCGCCGGCTTGAGAAGAGGCCTGAATCTCGCGAGAGCTCGTCAAATCTCGGCGGCGGAAAGGAAGAGGCGGAGCTAAAAACCGGAAGAACCACTGAGACAGGGTAGGAGCCTAGAGAGTCCTGGAGAAAGGCTCCGGAGGTCCAGTAACACTTTTCCGCCCCGGGAGCCTCAGTTTGGGTGCGGTTCCGGGGAGTTTCTCTGCGGGATCTTGGAGGCTCACAGCCGGGGTCTGGGCGGGAGACCTGGCCCGAGGGAAGTACCCGAAGATAGAACGTTGTTAAATCGTCCTGATAAGCCAAGGCTGAGGGTTCCATCCCCGGTCAGGGTTCATACAATAATCAACCAATGAATGCATAAATAGAGCATCAAATCGATGTTTCTTTCTCTCAAAATCAATCAATCAAAAGAATTCTAAGCTGGGAATGTATAATGTCAGCATCTGTGGGGCAGGAAGCCTGGGGTGCAGGGTGAGGGGAAACGGGGAGAGAGCCTGGACTTCAAAGTCACTCTTTTCCCTAGTTCCTAATATCATAATAAAGTGACCGGCAGAGTTAATGAGGAGTCCTTGCATGTACAATGAATGTGTGGGCCTGTCTGCTCAATCAGGAACTAACGGGTTGAAGGTCTTCTCTCCCCTCCACTGAGAGCTGTCAGGATTTTACAGCCCTCATCTGCCTGCCCGTGTAAGAGGCATGCGAGTGAAACCAAGGTGCAAGCGGCAATGAATGTGGAAAACACAGGCATTGGAGCAAGGTCACTGGCTTCTGGAAGTTTCCAGGTCACCCACCCTTCCTATATAACAGTCCATAATCTTGAGGCATCAGTAACCTATCAGGTGGACAGAAGGTAATCGCTCAGATATTGACATTTACAATAGGGAGATAGTAACACTTGATTTTTATCATAAACCGATCATTTGCTCATCTTCAATATGCTTCATTAAAAGAAACAGCATTCTTCCATTCATATTCACGAAATCGGTACAGATGAAAAGGATCAGTGTGGCAAGGAGGGCATGCTTGTGAGTCAGACCAGGTTTGAGGCACACAGTCCCTCTTCTCGGTCACCAGGCACAGCATCATTACCCCAGTTTTCAAAGGAGGAAAGAGACCTTGAGGAGGAGGAAGAGGAGGAGTCACCAAGTTTACACAGCTCGTGGGCTGTGGCCGGGACCTGGCGCTCAGGGGCAGGAGGACACTCAGAGCGGTTATTTTAACACCCTTCTCCCGCCTTGGAGTCTTCTTAGCTATACCCGTACCATGATCTATTGTAATTCATTGTTTCAGAACCAAAACTTATCAGTTAGAAAGCACAAATGTCCATTTCAAAGACAGTATTCAAATTTAATAAAACGTCATGTGCAAACTAAAATCTGCACTTTAATGAACGTGCGTCACGGGTAGTTCTCACTGCCGGGTTCCGCTGTTTTAAGTTTTAAACACAAGTGGTCTCTGAGATAAAGGGGCACAGCCAGCCAGTTCACCCGGAGAAGCGAGTCCTAATTAGGTCTGACCCCTCGATCACGCTGGGGGGCGGGGTCAGCTGTCAGGCAGCACCTTTGCTGGGCCCCTCCAGTACCCGGCTTCCCAGCCCCAGAGGGCGCCAGGCCCCGCTCACACCTCCCAGGTCCCGCCCACACCTTTCAGATCCCGCCCACACATCACAGGCCCCGCCCACACCTCCCAGATCCCGCCCAAACCTCCCAGGTCCCGCCCACACATCACAGCCCCCGCCCACACCTCCCAGATCCCGCTCACTCCTCCCAGGCCCCCGCCCACACAAAGCCCCGCCCAAAACCACATTAGCACAAACCCGCCGCGCTACTCCCTAGGCTCCGCCCTTCGCGTGGCCCCGCCCACACCGCCCTGGACCCAGGCCCTGCCCACCCCGCCCGGAACCTGCCCCCCGGCCTCCCTTCGTCACTGACATCCCGGAAGTCGCCGAACCTGCGGAGCGCCCGGCGCTAAGCCCCGCCCACCTGGCCTGGCGCTCAGGTTGCGCGTCATCACCCCGCGCCGCCGCCGCAGTTCGGTCCGCGCGATGGCGGCGCGGAGCCGGGGTCCGGGGCGCCGGCCCGGGCCCGGGAGGGAGCGATGACTCGGTTCCTGGGCGCGGTTCGCAGGGTCGCTCTGGCCGCCGTGCGCTGCCGCAGCGGCGGGCTCGGCATGTTCTACGCCGTGAGGAGGGGCCGCAAGGCCGGGGTCTTCCTGACCTGGTGAGCGCCGCCCCGGAAGTGATTGGAGACCCGGGCCTGCGGCGCTGGAGGCGGGGGGCGCGTGCGGGGAGGGGGCGGGCGCGCGGTGACCCCGGACAGAGGCCGCCTGCCCGGCCTGCGCTCTCCCGCCCGGGCCGACCCCGGAAGGGGACGGGGGCGCCGGAGCGGGCGGTGACGCGGCCTCTGTTCCAGGGACGAATGCAGGGCGCAGGTGGACCGGTTCCCCGCCGCCCGGTTCAAGAAGTTTGCCACCGAGGAGGAAGCCTGGGCCTTCGTCAGGAACTCGGGGAGCCCTGCTTCGAAAGGTAGTCACCACGCCACCACTGTCGCCTTAACCTTAGCCCAGCTTCCTGTTTCAGGTGCCCCTGGTGCCCTCTGACCTGAGCACAGCCCCCCTCCCGGGTGCTCTCTGACCTGTGCATAGCCCCCCTCCCGAGTAACCTCTGACCTGAGCACAGCCCCCCTCCCGGGTAACCTCTGACCTGTGCACAGCCCCCCTTCCGGGTGCCCTCTGACCTGAGCACAGCCCCCCTCCCGGGTGCCCTCTGACCTGAGCACAGCCCCCCTCCCGGGTGCCCTCTGCCCTGTGCACAGCCCCCTTCCCGGGTGCCCTCTGACCTGAGCACAGCCCCCCTCTTGGGTGCCCTCTGCCCTGTGCACAGCCCCCCTCTCAGGTGTCTCACGCCTAGTTCTCTAGTTTCCACATAAAATTTTGGACTTTGTTTTTCCTGGGGAAGGAGCCCTGAGATTTTTAAACTCCTGTGATCTAACGGGTTCATAACCCTTATGTCTCTTCGGACTCCATCGAAACCAGATTTATTTTAGCAGACGCTTTGCTCCCCTTTTCCTGTGGTCCTCGTCCAGCTGGTGGGAATTTAGGGCGCTTCACAGACGCAGTCATTGTCTTCACAGGGCCACATACAGGGCGGTTAGGTCTGTCAGTGCCAGTGACGCGGGAGGACCCCCCAACTCTGGGATTCTTAATCGTTGGTGTCACATTCGTTGTTTCTGGCTTCTGAGCCGTCTCGTCTTTCAGGGCAGGAGGACAAGCTCGTGGCCGAATCACAGGCGAAAGCCAGCAAGCGGAGCCGGGAGCCCCCGGCTGACGGGGAGGAGAACGCGGAGCCCCGAGCCAAGCATGTGAAGCCGGAGGAGGAGGCAGCCCCTCTGGTGGACAAGGACACGTTCTCTTACATGGGTTTGTCTCTTTTTTGTGTCTTTATTGACTTCAGAGAAGAAAGAGAGAGAGAGAGAGAGAGAGAGATAGAGAGAGAGATAGAAACATCGATGATGAGAATCATCAATCAGCTGCCTCCTGCACACCCCGCACTGGGGTTCAAGCCCGCAACCAAGGCACATGCCCTTGATCAAACCCGGGACCTTTCAGTCCACAGGCCAACGCTCTATCCACTGAGCGGTTAGGGCAGATTTTTATTTTTAATTATAATGAAACTATGTGTATAAAAAGCTCATCCCCCTTTTTACTGGGGAAGTTGCAGCTGATGTTGATCACCCTCATTCTCACCTGAGGATGATGGGTGTTGTAGGGAAAACCCCTGAGTCCGCTGCCATGAGCCTCAAGGTGAATTTCGGTTTCTGGCGAGGACGGCACTCACTGAGCTTTCCTCTCGCAGGCGAATACGTCGTCGTCTACACGGACGGCTGCTGCTGCGGCAACGGGCGCCGGCGGGCGCGCGCGGGCATCGGCGTGTACTGGGGGCCCGGCCACCCTCTGTGAGTAACCCCGGGGGGCCCGGCTGCAGGCTCTCCGGGTCCCGTTCTGGCTGTTTCTAAAGGTGCTGTTGTGCGATGCTGTCGAGTGCCAAGTAAGACCCACGTTAGCTTGTAATCTTATTTCTCTGTGCTGTTCTGAATCCAGAAACGTGGGCATGAGGCTTCCTGGGCGGCAGACCAACCAGAGAGCAGAAATCCACGTAAGCTACCGACGCTTCCCACTCACCACCTAAGGGTGTCCTTTAGCACGACTGTGAGCAAGCTCTCGAGCTTCGTGCCATCTGTGTGCGAGCTCCTCGGCGCCCAGAGGAAATGCGGCGTGGGCTAGTGGCGGTACAGAGGACAGGGCTCTTCTGGGAAACCTTCCCAACAGGTGTTTGCCGGGAGCGGGGCTGTAGGCTCACAGTCCGCGGAGGAGGGGCGCTGCACCGAGTCGCTGCGGGTCTGAGGTGGGAGTCGGGCAGGCCCTGCAGTGACGACCGGCCTCTCTCCAGGCAGCCTGCAAAGCCATCGCGCAGGCCAGGGCTCAGAACATCACCAAGCTGGCTCTGTACACGGACAGCATGTTCACCATCAACGGTGAGTGCACGTCTCCCTTCGGGGAGGTTCTGGCACGTTTGCTGGGAAACGGTGTTTCCTTCACCTGTGGGCGCACCATATCGGGGGCCCCATGCCAGTGGGGCTGCCTCGGGTTTGCCAGTGTGAAGGAGAGGGTGCGGGGCTGGGACCGGGTCTGCCGCTCCAGGTTTGCCACGGAGGGCTTCTCTTCGGGACCAGAGCCAGGGCAGGACGGCGGTAGCCCTGCTCGGCGCGCCCCACGTGTCCGCTGCTCGTGGGGCTGAGGATGGCGGGCTGGTGGCTTCTTGGGAAACGTGTAGGGAGACGGAGCGGTGCTAAGATTGGGGTGCTCCCGGAGGAGGTGCCATCCCCAGCTGAGCACTGGGCCGAGTGCGGTTAGAATCGAGGGAGAAGGGAGGAGGCCGTCCGTCCGCAGCTCCTAGTCTGGGGGCGTCTTGCAGGCATCACCAGCTGGGTCCAGGGCTGGAAGGAGAACGGGTGGAGGACGAGCGCCGGGAAGGCGGTGACCAACAAGGAGGACTTCATGGAGCTGGACAGGCTCGTCCAGGGCGTGGACGTGCAGTGGGTGAGTGTCCGTGTCCGTGTCCGGGGCGTGGACGTGCGGTGGGTGAGTGTCCGTGTCCGGGGCGTGGACGTGCGGTGGGTGAGTGTCGGTGTCCGGGGCGTGGACGTGCGGTGGGTGAGTGTCCGTGTCCAGGACGTGGACGTGCGGTGGGTGAGTGTCCGTGTCCGGGGTGTGGACGTGCGGTGGGTGAGTGTCCCCTGTCCAGGGCGTGGACGTCTAGTGGTCAGTGTCTATAAGAGATGGGTTTTGTTAAAATTACTTTCCAAACAACCGGAGCACGTTGGACGGCACCCGTGTCCCTGCCCTGCAGGAGAGCCAGGACACAGGACTGGCACTGTGGGAAGCTCACTATAGCGGGTGAACTGTTCACACACGCGGAGCAGCCTTCCACAGGTTCGGTGGGTAGTAGTGAGTGTCGGGGCTCCCCCCGGTGCACACCCGCCCCGGTGCACACCCGTCCTGGTGCACACACCTCTGGTGCACACGTGCTTTGCCCTGTCGTACTGGGAAAGAGCGGCACGCAGTCAGATCCAGGCTATGAAGGGTCGGGGTGAAGTGTGTTCGTGTGGCCCTGCAGGGGAGGGGAGGGGAAGGGCGGGGGGGCGCCTCCTCAGCTCCCAGAGGGGGGCTGTACGGTGAGGTGCAGAAGGAAAGGGGATCCTGTCCACAGATGCACGTTCCTGGTCACTCGGGATTTGTTGGCAATGAGGCGGCCGACAGGCTGGCGCGAGAAGGAGCTAAGCAGGCGGAGGGCTGAGCGGCGTCCTCCCGGGACCTCGCCACTTCCCGGAGAGCAGTGACTCCGTAGGAGCTGGAGACCTTCCGAGCCCCTCAGGATGACGCCATGGTGAACTGGACAGTCCGGGTTCGAGGTGGAAAACTCGCCGGAGACCGAGCGCTAGGCTTTATCGGGCGTGCTGCACTCCCGTGGATTTCCCAAGGACGTGCTAGTAAACAGTGCGCAGTGCAGAGAGTCTTCTGGAAGTTTCTCGGCGGGTGGCCTCGGTGGCGGGTGGCCGGGCCTGCGTGAAGATCAGAGCGGCAGTGAGTGTGGCGCCCTGGGCTGGGCTGCCTGACGTCACTCCTGAAGCTGTGGGGGGAATAAGGGTGGGTGGCCCAGACTCACCAAGCCCGGCCATCTCCGGCGGAGAGCCCCACCTGGTTCCGCTGTCCCGGTCGCTCTGGTTGGGACTGGTTACCTGTTCTCGGTGAGGATGGACTGGCTGCCTGCTCTGGCCCAGGCCCTCCTGGATCCTGGGTACACGGCAGTGAGCAGATGGGAAGAAAACCTCACCTTCAGAGCTCAAGTTCTTATGGGAGACAGTCAAGTCACATGGCAGTCCCATGGGGACCAGTGCTAGGTGGGACTATAACGGAATACAGAGGAATAAAAAGTGCCAGCCGTGTGTGTGTGTGTGTGTGTGAGAGAGAGAGAGAGAGAGAGAGAGAGAGAGAGAGAGAGAGGGAGAGGGAGAGGGAGAGGAAGAGAATGCATTGCGGTGTGGCCAGGAAAGCCGGATGTTAAATGCATCTGGGCTGACAAGATACAGGCGGCGAGGGGCCCACAGCACCTGCAGGAAGAGTGCCAAGCAGCGTAGGCACTGGGAGCCACAGGCTGTGATGGGAGCTGGGCTTCTGCACGGAGAACGGCCTGCGGGGGGCAGGATGGAGGCAAGAAAGCCCGCTGGAGACCCCTGTGATGTCCAGGGGACAGAGGTGGGCTCCTGGCCAGGAGCAGCGTGGGCTGGTGGAGGGGTCAGTCTGCATGAAGGCCCAGAACACACACACGTGCCATAAACACAGTGCGGCAACTTCTGAAACCACCCAGCCGCCCCGGCCCGCTGCTCCGTGGTTAGAGCCTCAGCCCTCAAACTAAAAGGTGGTGAGTTCGATCCTCTGGCCCCTGGATCTGGCTGCTCCCTGCAGAGAGCATGAGGGCAGGGGAAAGTGTGGCCACCAGCTCTGACTGCAGGACACTAGGACATCGGCCCGGGCTTCGCCACGCGGCCGTACGGAGAGCTGGGGGGCTGTAAGCAGACACTGGAGAGGCCACGGTTAGGGAAGGCCCGGCCGGGTGCCGCACAGACTCCGGAAGCCGTTTCTGTGGAGCTGGGGTTATTCGCAGGGAGGGAGGGAGGGAGGGAGGGACGCCTGGGGGGCGGGGGTGTCTGCCGAAGTTCCGATCCTGACCCGGGTGAGGGTACTGGCGTATCCATAAGTCAATGAGTGATGTGTTTGTTTTGTGTCATTTTCTGTGTTTCTATGGTAAAAGGTAAAAATAAACGATCATGTCAGACATTTTTTAAAGGTGCCCAGTGCTTTTATTGAGAAATGCCGAAGACAGTTTTAAAACTTGCACGCCTTGATCTTTAGAGCTGTAACTGCCCCGCCCTAGCCCGTGTGGCTCGATGGTCTGAGCTTCACCCTGTTCACTGAAAGGCCGCAGGTTCAGTTCCCAGCCCGGGCACACACCCAGGTTACGGGTCCCAACTCCGGGGGGGGCGGTGTATGGGAGGCAACCAAGTGATGTTTCTCTCTCTCACTCTCTAAAATCAATAGAACACATTTAAAAATGTTTTTAAGTTGTAACTGTCCCTACATGATGGTGAGTTGCTACATATGTGGTCTGCCCGGTGCCCGCCCTCTTGGCACTGGCCGGGTGAAAAGTGCTCCCCTGGCCTCCCGCAGGTGCTCGCTCACCTGGTGGGGCTGGTCACGTCCGGACAAGTTTGCTTTTCATCGGATGGATTTGCTTTCTGAAAGGCGATCTTTTAGCTCAGCTTTCAGCGTCTCACACATCCTTGTGGGGTTTCATTCCTAAGAAGATTTGAGTCTGTTCCTGCTTCCTGCCCAGCACAGGTGTTACGCGCAGAGAAGCCTGGGAACTCCTGAGCAGCCAGACCAGCTTGTCACGAACAGCTGAAGCGCCTTGTTTTGGAGCCCCGCCTCTCGTGCCTCTGGAAATCCTGAGCAAACTTCACCTGTTTGCAAAGATTGATATGTTCTTCCCGCCCCCAGATCTTTCTCCCCCTCTACCTTGGCGGAGCCCACAACCCTGGGTATGTGCCCTGACCGGTTGCATAGGACAGTGGTTGGCAAACTTATTTGTCCACAGAGGCAAATATCAACAGTATGACCACTGACATTTCTTTTGAGAGCCAAATTTTTTAAACTTAAACTTATAACGCCACTTCTTCAACACAGACTCGCCCTACCGTGGCATTTTATGGAAGAGCCACACTCAAGGGGCCAAAGAGCCACATATGGCTCAAGAGCTGCAGTTTTCAACCATGGGCAGAGGACAAGGCTCACCCACTGAGCCACCCCAGCAGGGCGTTATTTCTCCATTCGAAATGCCTTTTCATTAGAATGACACTGGGATTTTTCAAACAGACACAAAGGAATGGTTTTAGGAACGGTCAGACGGCTCTGCACAGCCTCACTGAGCCAGTCTCCTGCTGTTGACATGCTTAGGGAGCTGGCCAGCTGTGCAGGGCGGAAGGGCCAGGACTGTGCTGTGCTGGGTGGTCACCCGCGGCCCTCACTGCTGACCCCGAGTCAGGACACCTGCCTGGCTTCACAGAAAACCCTGGTCAGAGCACCTGCCTGGGTGTGGGGCTCCATCCCCAGCAGGGGCTGTGCAGGAGGCCGTCAGCGATGGTTCTTTCTCTAGATGTTTTTCTCTCCCTTCCCCCCAGGGGGACACTGCAGGGTGTGAGCCCGCTGGGCGTCTGGTGCCACAGGCTGGCCCAGGCGCCAGCCGCTGAACCCAAGGGGTTAGAGTTCACCCGCTCTCACCCTTGTTATTAACCTGGCACTGCAGTGGCAGGTGACGGGAATTGGAGCTGCTTATGCAAACAAAGACTTGTTTTCTTTTCAAAAGCTCCCGAGGCCCTGGCCAGGAGCTCAGTGGGCTGGTCATCCCCACACGCCAAGGCTGCCAGTTCCGCCTCAGGTGAGGGCACACACACACGGAGGAAGCAATGAATGCATAAATAAGTGGAACAACTTCTCTCTCTAAAGTCAGTAAAAATTCTGAAACACCAGCCCCACCGGAGTCCAGGCGGCCAGCCAGAGCGCCGTCCACCTGCTGGGTCTCTGGGAGTGAGGTCCTGGGTGGCCACTGAGGAGGCAGAGCCTGACCGGCTGGGGGAGGGCACAGTGCGAGGGGGGCACAGCACATGCCCCACAAACAACACAGGGCCAGAGGTCCCTGTGCTCGAGTGTTTATGATGAATAGAACTAAGACACGCCCATCTGTCCTAGCTCAGCCTGCAGGTACCACCCTCTGGCCGCATTGAGTCAGGGATCGCAGCACCCGGGGGAGCCTGGTCTAAGCACAGCACTGGGCGGGAAGGGAGCTGACACCTGCTGAGCCAACAGCCGGAGGGCTTCCTGACCGGAGGGCTTCCTGACCGGAGGGCTTCCTGACCAGCAGACAGGGTAAGGGGGAGGGGGCGCAGCAGCATGGCCGGCGTGGCAGCTGGAAGCCATGCCGAGGCGCCTGCATAAGAAGTGATGTTCCAGACCCGTTTTATTTTTAAGTTTTTCCTTCCGCTCTTGGGGAGCCTGCCCAGCGCCTCTTCTGGCTCATCTCCCGGGTGACAGTGTTGGGGTGCCCTGAGCTCTGTCCACATAGCCAGGTGGCTTTCAGCCCCCACCTGTGCCTCCAGCCGCCTCTCCTGGACCTGCCCTGAGCCCCTTGGGCTCCCACGCAGGACCTCACCCGGCAGTGACCCAGCAGCCGCACCCACAGCGACCTTGGGACCTGGCGGCCCAATGGGAGCCCGGCGCCCTGTTCTCTCTCCTTCTCCCTCCCCTTCAACCCACTCTGTTGGTCCTGTCTCTTCGACCTTCTGAACGCTTGTCTTTGTGTGTGTTTGTTTCATTTCGTTCTTTATAAAATATATTTTTATTGATTTCAGAGAGTACGGGAAAGAGAAACATCAATGATGGGCGGCCCGTGTTGCTCAGTGGTTAGCGTTGTGAAAGAAAAGAGCCACAGGCTAATCTGACAAGCTCAGGGAAGGCCTGCGTGGCAGTCTTGCAAACCCAGAGACCTAAGAGAACCACAAAAGATAGTTTGAAAATTAAATATCTAACAGGTTATAGTAGGTAGTCATTTCCCAGATATTTTCCCAAAGATCAACTTTGATCTTTTACTGAGCCCATTTGCCTTTTTGCCTCTAAGATAACATATCTGTGAGACGTCTGGGTAACTTGTAACTTCCCTTTTTCCGGAGCCCCTGGGAACAACTGGATGTGGCCGGCGCCAGGACAGATGCCTCAAATTCCTTCTTTATCATGTTAATTGTTCCCGCACTCACCTGAGTACACGTCCAGCATTTTACTTTTTATCCAATCCCAGGAGTTTCCCACCACTTTGCTTTCTCCCACCTCCTTACTCCGTCACCACTGAATTTCATGTAACCCACCTATGTCCCTCCTTTGATTTCAGTGTATAAATAGAGAAATGTAATCCACCATTCTTCAGAGCACTATCTCAATCTGTTGAGGTTTTGCTTCCCGGCAATTGTCGACATTTTTGGCTCAAATAAACTCATTACAAAATTCTTTACAGGTTTCAATGGTTCTTTTCGTTAACAGCGTTGACCTATGAAGCAGGTCGGGTTGATTCGGGGTTGGTGCACAGGCGGGGTGTGGGCTCCATCCGCAGTGTGGGGGGGTGTGCAGGAGGCACCGATCCGTGATTCTCATCAGTGTCTCTCTCTGAAATAAAAAAAAAAATCTTTTAAAAAGGAAAGACACATCAGTGATGGAGTGTGGCTGCTGGTTCGCAGGCCGGATGTTCTGTGATTTCGGGGCCACGTTCTGGGTAAAGGACCGGGTCCAAGGCCGGAACCGCAGGAACCACGGGAACCGGCGGCGGCTCCGCCTGAGCGGATTAACAGAACCGCCGTCCGCCTCGGGCCTCGGCCCGGGCCTCGCGGTGAGATCGGCGGAGCCCCGCGGGCACGGCTGCAGCCAGCGCCGCCCGCCCCCCGCCCCGCCCCCCGCCCCGCCCCGCCCCGCCCCCGCCCCGCCCGCCCCGCCCCGCCAGCCCGCCCCGCCCCGCCCCGCCCGCCGCCGGCCTCGGCGCGCAGCCCGCCCGCCCGCACTCCCGCCCCGCCGCGCCGCGCCGCCGCCGCCATGGTGCAGGCCTGGTACCTGGACGACTCCGCCGCCGACCCCCGCCGCCCAAACCGCGCCGAGCCCGCCCGCCCGGTGGGCCTGGAGCAGCTGCGCCGCCTCGGGATCCTGTACTGGAAGGTGCGCGGGCGGCGGGCGGCGGGCGGGTCCCTTAGTCGCCCGGACGCCGCGCACCCCGCGCCGCCGAGTTCGAGACCGCGGCCTGGACGGGACCCGGCGCTGCGCACGCTCCGCAGAGAGGCCGGTGGTCGGCCGCCTGAGCGCACTGCGCATGCTCCGCAGCGAGGCCGGTGGTCGGCCGCCTGAGCGCGCTGCGCATGCTCCGCAGCGAGGCGGGTGGTGGGCGCTGGGGGCGCTGCGCATGCTCCGCAGCGAGGCCGGTGGTCGGCCGCCTGAGCGCGTTGCGCATGCTCCGCAGCGAGGCCGGTGGTCGGCCGCCTGAGCGCACTGCGCATGCTCCGCAGCGAGGCCGGTGGTCGGCCGCCTGAGCGCGCTGCGCATGCTCCGCAGCGAGGCGGGTGGTGGGCGCTGGGGGCGCTGCGCATGCTCCGCAGCGAGGCCGGTGGTCGGCCGCCTGAGCGCGCTGCGCATGCTCCGCAGCGAGGCGGGGGGGGTGGGCGCTGGGGGCGCTGCGCAGCTGCAGGCGGGTCCAAGGAGAGGTTTCAGGCCCCTCTGTTCCCAGCTCCCCACGGGCCCGCCGGGACTGCGGTGCAGGCTGGGACGGGCTGGGGGGCACCGCGTAGGCGGGGAGGGGGCGTGGGCCCAGGCTGTCCCATTGCTGGGAGGCCCCAGTTCTGGAATTCAAACTGTGTCTTTTTGTGTGTTTGCTGATTTTTACATGGTGTTTATCTTCCTGGGCTAAGATTTAACATGCAAAGCAATGGCAGGGTTTAAAGGCTATGGTGGCGGGGAAATAAGTTTTGTTTTCTGATAAAGTTAAGGCATCCACAACCTAAAGCACCCCAAGGGCCCCTGTGCCTTGGTGTTTAAGAGGAAGAATGAGATGCTGTCAGCCTGCAGGGGAGGGCAGGGTGAGACAAAGGGTCAGTCAAACCCTCACCTCTCCCTTCTCCCCTATGGGATGGCGGGACGGCGGGTCCAGAGGCCACCCGGACTCGGTGATGTTTGCGGGGTGCTCCGAGAGCCCTGTGTGTTCATTACATGAGCTCTCACCAATGGCGCTCTTGTGGGGCAGAGGCAGCATGCGTGCACGCCTGCTCGTGGTCACGGGAGCACAGAGCCCTCGCACAGCGTGAAGCTAGATTGTCCTCTCGCGCACACGGCAGGTGGGTCCGCCAACTTGGGAGTCCTCTCTGCAGAAGTTACGTGTTGATGGCTAGTATTGGAGATACTTCGGAGTTTGCTGTCAGTTCTCACGGTACAATGTGAATTTAATGACAGTTCAAGGCCAGCACGCCATATGCACTGCCCTTGGTCTTCGTGGGGTTCAGATGAACTCTGCTGGCTCCCGAGGGGAGTGACAGTAAACCCGGACCTTGAAGAACACAGGGTGAGATGGAGGGCGAGGCGTTCCAGGTGGTGGAGGAAGCCGTCAGGTGCCAGGGCTGCTAGGCCAGTGGTCGGCAAACTCATTAGTCAAAGAGCCAAATACCAATAGTACAATGATTGAAATTTCTTTGGAGAGCCAAAAAGCAACTTCTGCACATGGGCCGAAGTTTTGGGGAAGAGCCTCACTCAAGGGGCCAAAGAGCCGCATGTGGCTCGAGAGTCGCAGTTTTCTGACCACTGTGCTAGGCGAAGGATCGAGAATTATTGAAGAACAGCAAATACCCTTCTGGTTTACAATGTAGTTTTTTTCTTTTTTAAAAGTCAATTTCAGAGAGGAAGAGACAGAAACACCAATGATTGGCTGCCTCAAGCAAAGCCTCCCCCCACCCCCACCCCCACTGAAATCGAGCCCAAAACCTGGGCCTGTGCCCTGACCGGAATTGGTTCATAGGTTGAAGCTCAAGCCCTGAGCGACACGGGCTGGGCTGATATTTTTTTTAATAGGAGAGAGGAGAAAGGCACCTGGGCTGGATGGCAGAGGCCCACAGTGCGGCAGCCTGGTGCTGGGGCTGTAGCTGTGGGCGGAGGCGGCAGGCACTCTGATCGGAACAGAGCGGCCATGGGGCTCAGTGGGGCTTCGGAGTGGAGGCTGGCAGGGGGACGAGGGGTGTGTGGACAGACCTGAGGCCGGGAGTGTTCCCGAAGCCCCTGGCAGTGGGGACCCAGGTGTGAAGAGGAACCCAGGAAGGACTTGGGAGGCAGGGATTAATGCAGCTGCGTTTCGTTCAGTTGGGGAGAATCACTGAGGTGGGAGGTTCGTTGGGGTTGACCGGTCTGGAGAGAGCACGTGGGGGCCCAGGGATGCTGTGCCTCCCACACACGTGGCCTCCTTTCGCTGCCCACCCTTTAGCTGGATCCTGACAGACACGAGAGTGACCCTGAGCTGGAGAAGATCCGGAAGGAGAGACACTACTCCTGGATGGACATCGTCACCCTCAGCAGAGAGGAGCTGCCCGACTACGAGGAGAAGGCAAGGCTCTGCTGTTCGGAGGGACGCGGTCGGCTCCCTCCCACCCGGAGTTCTAACCATTTTTATCGTCAGGTCTTAAAACTTTTAGCTTAGAGGCGGGTCGGGTGCGGCCAGGCCCGGAGCAGCGGCTGCCAGGCTGGGAGCGGCCAGGCCCGGGGGAGCAGGCGGGTCGGGTGCGGCCAGGCCCGGAGCAGCGGCTGCCAGGCTGGGAGCGGCCAGGCCCGGGGGAGCAGGCGGGGCGGGTGCGGCCAGGCCCGGAGCAGCGGCTGCCAGGCTGGGAGCGGCCAGGCCCGGGGGAGCAGCCGGGTCGGGTACGGCCAGGCCCGGAGCAGCGGCTGCCAGGCTGGGAGCGGCCAGGCCCGGGGGAGCAGGCGGGGCGGGTGCGGCCAGGCCCGGAGCAGCGGCGGCCAGGCTGGGAGCAGCCAGGCCCGGAGCAGCAGCAGCCAAGTCCAGAGCAACTAGGTCGGGAGCGGCAGTGACCAGACCCGGAGCAGCTGGTTGTGGAATGAACCAGAGCAACAGAGGCCAGGCCCTGAGCAGCCAGGCCCAGAACAGCTCGCTCCTTGACTGCCCCTGCCCCACGGCTGCTTCTCAGACATGACTGGAAACTTTCTTGGGAACTTGAGGGTCTGCTGAATCAAGTGATGAAGGCTTAGATCTGGATGTGTTGAGTTAGTGTAGGCTGGGGTGTTGATCTGTGAGTGCCTTGGGTGGGGCCTGGATGAGGCTGGTTAACCTACTGGGAAATGTCTTTTGTGTGAAGTGTATCATTGGGCATGTGGAGGTATTATTGATATGAGAAAATGCTAAGTAACTGAATTACTATCTGGAAAGGGATTTACTATCGGGGAAATTGAGGGAAGAAGAGACTGAACATAAACTGCACCTATGGATGAGGACAATGGGGATGGGGGGGGCAGGACGGAGGGTGGGGTGGGAACCTGGTGGAGGGGGGAAGAAATGAGGGACCTTTGTAATAATATGAACAATAAAGATTGATTAAAAAAAAAAAAAACTTTTAGCTTAGACCTATTTGAACTTTTTATTGGTATTGGGGAAAGAGAAGAGGGGACTTGGACAAATAGAAATTCTTTAGTAAGGTGATGGTTACTTTTAACAGATTTTCATGTGGCTTCTGACCTTCCAGTGTGAGCATGACTGTGTGCCTGTGATCGTATGACTGCAGGACCGCGTAACTGCCGTGTGCTGGGCTCTGAGCAGGAACCGGGCTGTCTGGGAGCCGGCTCTGACATGCAGGCTGTGTTGTCGGGCCAGCGACCTCGCCTGTGCCCCATTTCCTGCCTGTCCACGGGGAGGGGACCACAGCCAGCCAGGCGGGCTCTGCGGGCCGCGGCGGTGCTGGCCGCGGGGAGGACTCGGAACCGGCCCGGCCCCCTCCCGCTCGCTAAGGCCCGAGGCTTGTCGCCCGGCAGATGGAGATGTTCTTCACGGAGCACCTGCACGGGGACGAGGAGGTCCGCTACGTGCTGGACGGCAGCGGCTACTTCGACGTGCGGGACGCGGAGGACCGGTGGGTCCGCATCGCCGTGGAGAAGGGCGACCTGATCACCCTCCCCGCCGGCATCTACCACCGCTTCACGCTGGACCAGCAGGTGGGACGCGGGGGACGCTGGGCAGGGAGGGGGAGGCCTGCACGGCCGCTCTAACCGGGCGGTGCTTCTCCCAGAACTACGTGAAGGCCATGCGGCTGTTCGTGGGAGAACCGGAGTGGACGGCGCACAACCGGCCGGCGGACCACGTGGAGGCTCGGGGCCAGTACGTGGCGTTCCTGGCGCAGAGCGCATAGCGGCGCCCTGGGCCAGCGCACCCCTGGCCCGGCCGCCCTGCTCGTGACAGCGGCAGGAAACAGTGTCCTCCTGCCTTCCTGCCCCTCGGGGAGGCTGTCTGATCAGGGTGATAGTGGAAGGAGCCGTGAGCCTGATTTTCGTCCCCACGCCACGGCCGTGCCGGTGCCCGTGTCCCTGCCCGGCCGTCCGTGGACCTGATGCCAGGCTCGGTGCGGACTGCGGCCAAGGCCACGCCGCGTCTGCGCAGGTGACCGCTCTTCTCCCACCATCGGAGGGAGCGGGGCAGCCCTCATGTCAGGGGAACTCATGCCACTTTCTTGTTTAAAATAAATAAAGCAGCTGCCTTGTCCTGGCCAGTGGCTCAGGGTCCCAATACACCAAGGCTGTGGGTTCGAACAAGCCTCTGCCAATGAACTCATAAATAAGGGGAACTGGACATGTCTCTCTCATCAATAAAAATGAATGCGTAGCTGTCTGACCTCATGCTTGGGCTGGCAAGAAGCCGGTGAGCGGAGGGTGGGTCCCTCTGGGCAGGAAGAAGGGGTGTCGTCCCATGGTGTCCCACCACAGTTACAAACGCTGACGCCCAGGTGCTGGGAACCGTTTATATTACTCTTCCCGCTTTTCCCTGAGGACAGAAGCACGAGGACCCGAGTGTCCTGCAGACTCTGCACCGCCCCTGGCACGTTCACCGAGCCCACAGGCGGTGCAGGGCAGCAGCTGAACAGACTGCCCAACACCTGGCCTTGGCCGGGACCAGGGGGCGCGCTCGGCCCCAGTCCACAGGCCTCACGGGACTGCCGGCCCCCCCAGGGCGGCTCCCGTGCGCGGTTCCCGGGAGCCGGCGGCGTGGGCTAGGCCAGCTTGAGGCACTGCGTGTTGAAGCTGTCGCCCTCGCGGCCGGCCACCGCCTCGAGCAGCGCCTGCTTCTTCTGCGGGCTGCGGGAGGACTCGAGCTCGTACATGGTGGTCAGGTTGAAGAGCACACTCTCGTGCAGGCAGTGCCCGGGCTCCCGCTGCACCAGGGCCTCCAGCTGCCGCAGCGAGTCCTTGAGCCGGCCCAGGTACAGCAGGCACACGGCCGCGTTGTTGTTGGCCTGGAGGACGGACGGGGCGTCAGGACCGCGCTGTGCCCGCCCTCCACCCCCTCGGAGGACGGGGCGTCAGGACCGCGCTGTGCCCGCCCTCCACCCCCTCGGAGGATGGGGCGTCAGGACCGCGCTGTGCCCGCCCCCACCCCCTCAGAGGATGAGGGATCAGGACCGCACTGTGCCTGGGCCCCCACTCCCTCGAAGGACGGGGCATCAGGGCTGTGGCTGTGCCCAGGTCCCCCACCCCTTCGGAGGACTGGGCGTCAGGGCTGGGGCTGTGGCACTGGCCCCACCCCATGGTCACCGCCTGGGCCAGAGGGCTGGACGGGGCCGCAGGTGTGAGCACATCTGCTGAAGCGCCTTACCACTGCATTTGTGGGGTCAATCCTTAAGATCTCTGTGAAGAACTTGTGGGCTTCAGCGAAGTTATTCTGACCGAGGTGGAGGAACGCTCTGGGACAAGTGACAGGGAAAGCCTCAGCCTCCAGGGCAGAGGCTCCTGCGGTGTTCGCCCTCACTGGGCCCTGAGCCCCTGGGACGGGGCCCTCAAGCGGGCGCGTGTGCCACTGGCCAGCCCACAGCTCGCACTCTGGACTGGAGTTAAGGTGCCGGGAGCACAGCCTCTCCCTCCCTCCTCCCCGGGCGGTCATTACCTTCACCACCTCCTCCTCCACTCCAAGGCCCCCCTCTGTGACTTTCTATATAATCTTTTTCTTTAAAAAAAAAAAAAAGGCGGCCCTAAGGTTATTGATCCAGACTCGGCCCTGCGCCTACACTTCCTGCCACACACGTCCCGCCTCAGCTTCTCCCAGACGAGCCTGCCCGGGCCGGGACAGCGGCCAGGAATTCGCGATCCCAGAGGGCTGTGCGCCCGGAGCTGCGGACACTCGGTGGGACACCCTGGCAGGACACGCTCGGCGTGAGCTCGCTACCTGTTCATCAGCACCATCATCTTGCCCTGCGGCCCGTCCAGCTTCTGCGTCACTCTCTCCACGTCCTGGAAGTACCTCTCGGCCGTCTTAATGTCTCCGATCTGCTCGGACAGAGTCACACCCGCTCAGCCTGGGGTCACGTCACCAAGACGCTGGTGCCAAGCAGGGCTCTGACCACCGGCCTGGCGTCACTTCCTGTTCTAACTGCCAGACGTGTGGGATGCAGTGGGTGGGCCTCCCTGCGCCCGAATCGAACCCAGCACACGGGCCCTTAGACGCGGTGTGCAGCCTGCGCTTTCTGAGAAACCCCGCATGGCAGCACCGACACACACCTGAGTGAAACGGAGACTGACACAGGCTGGTGCCAGACGGCAGCCCGATGGGTCCTCTGGCTGGTGTGACCAGGAAATGACAGCCACTCCCGCCCGCTGGCCCAGCCAGTTTTGTCCCACGAGCTGACCCTCGCTTCTCCCTGGCCGCCCAGTCCCGGTGGTCAGTGAGCCGGCCTCCCCCCGCCTTCCCGCAGCGCCCACCTGGAGGAAGATGCGGCCGACGCCGCTGAGCAGCTGCGGCTCCTGCTCGGGGTGGAACTGGATGACGGAGCGGTAGGCGTCCACAGCCAGCACGTAGTCCTGCGGAGAGCGGCTGTCAGGCGCGGACCCGTGTGGAGGACACGGGGACACACGCGTGGCAGGAAGCGGGAGGCCCAGCAGGAGCCTCCTCGGGGCGCGCCCGCCTTGCCCGCCTGCAGGGCAGAGGACTCGTGCAGCCTCTGGAACCTCAGGAGACAGTGACACTGGAAGAGTGAGGTGAGCCCTGGCTGGTGAGCTCAGTGGTTAGAGCGCTGGCCTGCGCACGGAAGGCTCTCAGGTTAGATTTCCCGTCAGAGCATGCACCATCCAGGTCGGGAGACAACCAATTACTGTGCCCCTGGCACACTGATGTCTCCCTCCCCCTCTTCCTTCCCTCCCTCCCTCCACACAATGGAAAAATACTTTCAGACGAGGATCAACAAACAACAAAGTGAGAGGTGAGCGCTGGCCGGGTGGCTCAGTAGGTGCACCAAAAGGCTGTGGATCCCATCCCTGGGAGGCAACTGATTGATTTTCCTCTCTCACATTGATGTTTCTCCCTCTCAAATCAATAAACGTATCCTCAGGGAAGGGCGAAAATGATAATAAAATAAAAATAAAACACAATGCAGTGAGAGGAGGCCTGTCCCAGCCTGGGATGTGGCTGTGCCGAGTGCATTATGGAGACAGTTAAACCCTCCTCATCGTTAAAAAGTTAAATCAGTATTTATTCCCCTGGAATAGAAATGTTATTCAAAATAATTAAACGGCTGATTAAATAACCCGCTGTTACCCAGACACGTCATTTAATTAATGTGACACCAGAGCAAGACCACAGGCCTGCAGTGCTGGGCGCGGCCACTAGGTGGAAACAGAGAGCACAAGCTTGAGTGGCCATTGCAATCATTTTCTCTTTTTAAACTCAAATGAAAGAGTAATCTAAAATTTCAAGTTCAATGCATTCACCGTAAAAGCATTTTTGAAACAGTAACGTGTTCTGTGCGGACATCCTCTACATGCTACCTACATGCAGGCAGAAGACATGCTTGGTGCCTAGAGGTATGACAATACAACAAAGAAAAGCATGTCCATCCCATAATTTTCTGTTCGTGTCTTAAAAATGCAGAAAAGCTGCGAGTTTTGGACCAGCTGACCTCCCTTTGGAGGGGTTAGCCACACGAGTGCGGTGTCTGCCTGTGAGGGCCGCAGGGCTGGGCAGCGGGGGCAGGGCTGGCTGAGGGGCAGTGGGGGGAGGATGGGCAGTGTGAGGGCAGAGGGGCAGGGCCGCAGCCTTGGGGAGCAGCTGGTCACCGCAGAGACTGGGGGCTCGGGGCACACCTCCTGCTGCCCACACGGGCCCCAGGGCAGGTACGGCCGAGGGGACAGGGACAGGGACAGGGACAGGACGGGGATGTGAGCCTGAAGGGGAATCGCTGTGAGCAATAGCGCTCCTCACCCTCACCCCCTCCCGTCCTCACCACCGTGCTGGGCTGGGAGACAGGGCGGGAGGGCCGTGAAGGGCACTCTGCACCAGGGCCATACACTCAGGGCACAGAAGGTGGCGCCGGCACGGGGACCGCCGTGCTGGCTCCTCCAGCAGGCCCGGCCACACCTCTGTGACGGGTGGATGAGCGGCTGCGGCTCTGAACTCACCCCTGCTCCAGCCCTTCCCACGCCCACACGAGGGTCCACGGCCCGTCGCACGGAGCCCACGGTCACGCCCCTCCACCCTGTGACCGGCCTGCCTGCCCACTGCAGCCCGGAGTGACCTTGGGGGCCAGGGGAGCCCCCATCTCTCACGGGGAGCAGGTGTGGACTGAGGCTGCTGCCTGTGGCTGGCTGCTTCCTCAGCGGCAGCGGCCAGAGCAGGTCACCCTGGGGCAGGTGTGAGCCGGGCGGGCGGGGGCTGCAGGTCCCACAGGGAGAGGCCCCGGGACAGGCGTGTGAGCTGCAGGGCTGCCCGAGGAGGGGGGAGGAGGGACTGGAGGAGACAAAGGCCCCCATCCCCGCCCCGCGTCCTGTCCTGGGGAGCAGGGCCGCGGGGACCGAGGTGGGGGCACAGTGTGAGCGGTGATTTACACCGAACCCCAGACCCCGTTTAACAATTACACGGAATTCACACGGAGGCCCTGAGCCTGTTCCCGCGAGCCCAGCCCCACGCACCTTCATGAGGAGCAGGCAGTTGGCCATGGAGCAGGTCACCCGGCCCAGGCGGGACCGCCACAGCTGCACAGAGGCTGCAAGAGAGGGCGCTGAGCCAACGCGGGGCCGCAGTGGAGTCCGCACACTGAGGCCGGCCACACAGCCACCGAGGGCAGGGCTTCGCCTCGGGGGACAGACCACAGGGCCAGGGCAGCGGCAGCACCCCGAGAACTCCTCATCAGAAAGGGAGGAGGGGGAGGCC